TTCCACACTGGACACCACAGTACACCACTACTTGATGTAGCTGTTGTCTGCACCTTTCCATCTTTTCATATGTTATATTGTGCTACATGGAGGTATGAGAATCACAGCTGATGGTGATGGTGAGTCGACCAGAGAGATCAGCTTGCACTAAAGAGGAATCTTTCACATAATCACTTTTATATTTCAGGATTAAAAATAAAAGTAAAAATGAGAATATCGACTTAATTGCACTGGGTTTTATCCCATTTTGCTCAGTATCTCTCCAAAGAACAGCTATCTGCCTGAAGAGAGCATTGCACAGAGCATGACCTCTATAGCTACCGCCATGATCCCCAGGGATCTCAGTAAAAATTGCAATAGTGAACTTAACAACATCACTGTGATAGGAACCCATGACCTTTAGAGTGCTAGGCAAACAACTTGACCATTTCGCCGTGGACTATTATTGCCATCAAATGCATTTTACATTCTTCTTCTCAGTTACTTAGCTCTAATCCTGTTTGCAGTCCTTTTCTCCTTTATCCATATTCTCTTCTAATTTTCTCCCTCCAGCCACTGTGATCCACAGCATCCTGTTCCCATAAATCTACCTCATTACCTGTATCATTTATGCCCCACTTGCACATTTCTTTTAAATCATAGTAGAAGCCAACCCCAACATCTTCTGCCAATCTGAAATTCACCTTAACAATATCCTAAGGGACTGTACCATCCTCCATGTGTTCTCTAGTCATTTAAGCCTTCAAATACTTACTGAGCTTTGAGAACACTGTTGAAACGCAGTGTAACAGTAATTGATGTCCTAATTATAACTTTGCGTAAAGTTGAGGAAAAGTATCAGGGATTTGTCCAGCTGTTGGATTGGCATCCAGACTAGCCATCCCACCTTGTTCATTACGTCAATGCTTATATAGTAAGGCCTAACGAATCAACCCAGTGACTATGTTTGCTAAATTTTTAAAATCCACACCAAAAGGGCTAACACATTAAAGATGCATTAACAAATTTATAGCTAATTTTGTTTTCACGAAAATGTTGCAAATTGCTATAAAAAGTAGCTTACAATTTAGTGTTTTCTGAGAAAAAATATAAAATCATTGTAAAAATCATCTTGTTTTCCAGATTTTTGACCCAAACAATGCCAGATTTGAGGTGCCACTGGATACCCCTTCTGGATCCTCGGATCTTCACAATCCACTATATACTGTAACCATTCAGCAGAATCCTTTTAATATTATAATACAGCGTAATTCTACAGGAGCTACAGTGTAAGTTTTCTGTTACTGAGTAATATTGAGCCAAGAGAGAAACTTGCTGGCCATCATCATCATCATCTAAATGTAAGATGACCATTGCTGTTATCGTTGTCAGTGAAAAAGATTTTCAATCCTTTACTAACTTCCCCGTCTCATGCATATTTATCTCTCAAGGCACTTGAGTTTCCGGTGTCTGCCTGTTTGCTGGTCAGTCTGTGCCTTTTATACAAACAAACCATAACTTTCATCACTACTCTTTCAAAAATATTTCAGTTTTTAAGACAGGATGTTGTTTATGAGCCAGTTTTATTTGATGTTGAGATCTTGTTGAATACCCATATTTTTCTTCTGTATCCACAGTATTCTAAGAAAGTTCCTGTAACTTTTAATTTGAAAAACCCACAGGGTGCATGTTATGTAATAGTAAAATGGTCCTTAATTTACATTCACATTTTGCCTCATGAACAATGCATTTTTCTTGATCTTTAATTTGTTCTTGGTGTTCTACTACAGGTAATACTGTTTAACCTCTGTATTGCTTTGGCCAGTCTCTGGCTGAATTCTTTTGAACAGAACTATTTAATCTAATTGTTTCAGCATTGAATGTCATTATTGTTTGATGTTATTTTAGTTCTTGTCATTTTCTGTATTCTGTTCTCTTTGAGAGATTAACTTTGATTCTGTTAAATACAGAATTATTGTTATTATTTTTTTTAGAACTTCAGTGAAATAAAAGGCCATAGAGATGTGGTTTCTGTGTAGAAGTTAAGAATGCCATAGACAGCTGAGGTCTTCTTTGCTTTCTCTTGCTGTAAAATCTGGTGAAAAATTGTGAAAAGAGTTTTTTTATTTTTACTTTACTTGCATCAGGAAAAGAGAATTGTTCTGTCTGATCATTTTGTGCAATGAAGGACTTCAAAGATAGTTAGTTAGTTAGTTAGTTAGTTAGTTGGGTTATCCTCATTGCACTCCGGACATGTCCATAGGTGCTCAGATCCTCCCCTCAAAGAAAGTTGTGACAATCATCAGGAAGATTAAGGGTGTTAGAGACAGTTTGACAGGGAGAGGGGGAGAGAGAGAGAGAGAGAGAGAGAGAGAGAGAGAGAGAGAGAGAGAGAGAGAGAGAGAGAGAGAGAGAGAGAGAGAGAGAGAGAGAGAGCCAGTTAGGTTGAACAGAATGGCACAGAGGTAGTTTACTAGCAGTTGAAACTAAGAAGAACATATATGAAGAATCAAAATTGGCATTGATATTCAATTAAGCACATCATGATTAGCCATTCTTACAGCACTGTACCCCTTAGATTTTCATGTAACATATCCAGATTTATCACCTTAATTGTGTTCCATTTATTCAACAATATGTGATTTAGCACTGCATGAAATTAGTTCTTTTTTTTTTTTTTAATTGATTGATAACTTTTGTGTTGTTTAACTGTTTTCTCATGTTAATGAAAAATGTAATAGCAACTCTGTGTGTGAACAATGTCTTCATGACTTTTTGGAGAATATTATACATACAGTTTTTAAATACTTTATTATTGTTCTCCAATTTGTTGTCGTGTGCAGGCTAATTTTGTGTTTTTCTCTTGCCTCCTTCTTTATGACTACATTAATTTCATGTGATCGATAATTTCAGATTTGACACCAGAGGTGCAGCCCCTTTAATCTTCTCAGACCAGTTCCTGCAGATTGCCACCCAGTTGTCCACAAAGTACCTGTATGGATTTGGGGAACACCGTACAACATTTCTCCAGGATCTCACCAGATGGAGACGACTGGTCTTTTGGAACAATGGAGATGTGCCAAAGGTTAATTATGAACAAATTATTTTGCTGAAGTCACATGAGTTAGGTCAAGAGGCGCATATATTAGAGTGCTATAAACTACAACACAGCATGCTCACCGCCTTTTAAAGGGTGAACACAGAAGAAGAAGAAACACATTTCCTTTGATCCAAGCTTCTGTGTCTTGTCATGAACGAGAGAAGGCAGCAGAAAGAATTCCCTATAAGGGCTAACCCATTCTGTTATCTTTTCTACTGATGAAAGAATATATTCTAAATAGCATGTTTCCTGAAAAAAAAAAACAGAGGTATATTTCCTTCAGAGGAAAGATGAGGAACCAACACTGTGTACAAATGAGCTAGATCTGTAAAATGGATGTACATACAAAACTTTAGCTCTAGTTCAGAAGCAAGACCAAAGTCCAGAAATGAACAAGCAACCAGAACTTTCTGCCACAGTTAACAGCTATTGATTGCCAGAAATGGACAAACAACCCAAACTTTCCACCACATTTTACAGCTGGTGAATGCTAAGAAGAAGACAACTGTCTGACAAGTTTCCTTCACCTTTGTGGGTCAGATGTAGTGCACACTACATATTTGCATGTTTTAGGCTTATCTTATCATCCAAATTCTATAACTAAGTCTTTCTTAGTCTGCCTCTTCTCCTCTGCCCTCTAGTGTCATACATGACCATTGTTCTGACAAATTATTGGAACTGCAGATCTGTTGAACAGAGTATGTTGCACCACTCACTTTAGCTGAAGAACAGGTTGCAAAAACAAATGAATACTTCATGTGTTCCATGAAAGTATGAGAAAATTTCCAAGTAATGTAAGTAAAGTAAAAGATCCCTTTTAACGCTTTCAGGCATGTTGGGAATATAGGGTTAATCGGCTATCCTCCGACTAACGGTTGGCAAAGATGGCGGCCGCAAAATATCATTTCAAGCCACAGTCGCGTGACTTAATTTGCGGTTCTTCTGCGGTTTTCCGGCGACTATCGCCACCGCCATGTGTCACCCATGCCGCTCACGTGGCGTGGAATGGGGCTAAACTAGATGGCTAGGACCCACGAGCAGCAGCCACGGTGTGCTCGTGACCGCTAGTGCTCAATTGACGCACGACTGTGGCTCAAAAGGATATTTTGCGGCCGCCATCTTTGCCGACTGTTAGTTGGAGGATAGCCGGTTAATCCTATATTTCATAGACCAGTCAGCACTTAGGGAAGAAATGTGGGGGGGGGGGGGGGGGGGTAGGCGGGGGTCTGCCCTAAATCCTCAGGCTCAACGACCCCCAACCACACCTCACAAGTAATGGTAGTAATGGCAGTAATATGTTGTCACAACCGCTGTCACTGCACTTTGGGCATTCTAATACATGCTCAGTCCTCCAATGCAGCAGTCACTGCAAGGTATCTCTGCTGATTGTTTCCATGTGATGCTGGGTGTGATGCAGCAGTAGTGATTGTATTCTGCCAGAGTATTTTTTATCAATCCTTAAGTTATTAGGAAAAACAAAAAAGAAAAATAAAGAAAAAATGTGAGCTTTAATACCATATGTTTCAGAATGTTTCTGGACCCTGGACCCAAAACAAGTATATATGAATGAAAATTCACTCATTCTTTTAGTTTCATAACAGTGAGATTGTTCTCATCCTGTCTTATCATACTGTTAGGCTGATAGCAATGAACATGATTCTCCTTCTTTCTTGTCATTCTTTTAGTGTGACAACAATAGGAATGGTTCTCATCTTGTCTTGTCATACTTTTAATTTGATAACAGCTGGAATCATTGTCTTTGCTCTCATTCTTTTAGTTTGATTTAAAAAAAAAATTGGGTCTTGTTCTTTCTTGTGATACTCTGTTTGCTAACAGTGGGAATATTTCTCATTCTTACATATCATATTTTTAGCTTCAAAACAATGGGAATCAATATAATCCTGTCTTGTCATACTTTTAGGTTGATAACAATGGGTATGGCTCTCATCCTTTCTTCTTGAACCTGGAGACTGGAGGACCAGCATCAAATGCAAATGCTCATGGTGTCTTCTTGCTCAACAGCAATGCCGGAGGTGAGTGATTACCTTTAGGCTGGAGGATGGTATTTGTGTGTAACCTGGGACTGAAGCTGGTTTTTAGATTGATGTAGGGTCGAAAATCAGAAAATAGATCATTATCACCCCTGCCTGAAATAAGTGCTGGGTAAATTTCTGGCTTCATGCTGACTTCATCTCCCATTAGTGCTGACTAGTGTATACATATATGGGCCTGGCAGCAAAAAAAGTGCCGGTATTAATCAGTGTCTGTTACAGTGGCACTGAAAAAAATGTGTTGATATGAATGTCACAGAAAACTGGCTCGTGGCATCAGATTTTGATAAATGAAATAGTTTGGCCATATGAAATGCAGCAGAACGGTAATCGAAGAAATGATTCCAGGAAGGAGAGTAAGGTGTTAAACAACATGAAGGAACACTGGGTATTCAGGTAAATATGGGATTAATTAGAAGGGTGTATTTGAAGGTGCATAGAAGACATTGAAGATGCATTTGCTTTCAAAGCACATAGGGCTGGAGAACTGGTTAGAAACTGGTTAGAGAGGGAGACTTTTAGATGTGCCATGACGAGAATGAGGTATTGTAAAGGACGTGCACTTTGATGATGGGTATGAAAATACATGAAGTTGTAAACAGGTAAAAGTAGTAAACATTGTTATTATTTAAAAATAGACATAAATAGTCATAATTTATTGCCTGGCATATTTTACTGTATCTCGTCAGATGCATTCCTACAAAATTACATTTAAATATAGTGAAGCACAAGAATGAATCCTTTTCATTTTGATACACAGATCACACTGTCTCTTGTTACACTGTATTTCTCACTATATGAAATTCAAGATTAGAATGTGATTACCACACAGTTTGCAGATTTATCTTATGCTATTTGTTTGTCTGAAAATCTTACTGATTGCAGCCTTTAAATAAAGTTTGTTTCATAAATTTACTGCTTATTTGGTTTTCTTTTTCTTTTGTCAAACCAGAGGTGGCCACTCAACCTGTTGGTTCTGGCGACAATGGGGCTGTCACATACCGGATGATTGGAGGAATTTTGGACTTTTACATTTTCTTAGGCCCAAGTCCTCTGTCAGTTGTTCAACAATATTCTGACGTTATAGGTCGCCCATACTTTCCGCCATTTTGGTCTCTAGGCTACCATATTTGCAAGTATGGAATTAATACTGAAGCAGACCTTCAGAATTTGATCAACAGAAATCGCGCAGCACAGATTCCATATGTAAGTATTAGTACTTAGATAATACTTTCCGAGTACTGAAGTTTTGTCTTTAATATCTCATTTTTGAAGAAGGAAACTGGAACATATTGTGATCACTGGAAAGATCTGTGGGGGAAAAACTAAGGAAGACAACGCAAGCAAATTCTTGATAGCTTTTTGTCACAGCATGGAGAGTTGTCAGCACACAAACTAATACATGCTGTTGAAGATCCCAGATTGTGGAGAGGCATGATCACCCATGCCAGTCGGCAGTGCACTTGATGACGATGATGATGATGATGATATGATCTCATCTTTTCCCTATTGAAAATAAAAATGAAATCATTTTAAAACTTTTTGAAGCAAACTCTCTCTAACACTGAAAAGGATTAAAACAGTTAATCCTCTCTGTCAGAAGACACATTGAAGATACATGTCTGTTACCTGATTTAAAAAAAAAGTATTTTATAAGTATAAAACTTATTGGTAATTGTGTTATATTTACAGCATTTTTATTATTTTTCTTCTTAAACTGAATCATCATTCTACCTGTTGAGTGCCAAGCTAAACATTTATGGGCTTTTAAAATTTAAAATTCATTTCAGGATGTTCAGTGGGGTGACATAGACTACATGACTAGTCACAGAGACTGGACTTATGACAAGGATAGATACGGAAATTTGCCGAACATCGTGAAGGACTTGCATGACAATAACCAGAGATACATCATCATGGCTGTATGTTGTTTACTGGATTATTAAAAAATGATATGCTATTAATATTTGTTTAGATTGTTCCTTAGGAGTTTGAAATTTGTGAATGTAAATAAAGCATCCACTAAGGAATTTGACATTTATCCCCTTATATAAATTACTCACCAGAAAGTTTGGCATTTGAAGGATTATTTTGAAAGCAATAATATTCATGATTTGTGCTGACTTTATCTTGCAAACTGGTTCTGTTTTATTATAGATGAAAGGTTTCAGAATTATGTTTTGAAGTTGTGTCTCTACAATGAAGCAATATTTAGGGATATCTCTTTAATGGTGCAACTCTTGTACTTCTGTGGAAAAATTACCATTGCAAGGCCATAAATAAAAAACGATTACAGTTGAATTCACAGACTTCCAGATAATCTGCAACAAACATCAATATTCAGAAGTGTTCTTCTTTCAACATTCTACTTTCAGCTTTCTTCCTCTCCATTTGCATTCTGTTTCCAAATAGAGGCAAAAGCCCTCAACCACCTTATCCAAGCCTTTTGTAGACTTGTTCATCATTGTTGAATTTTGTTCTCTCTGTGTGTGAGTGTGTGAGTGTGTGTATGTGTTCTTTGCCCCATTTTATGTATGTCATAACAGTCGATTAACTAGTGATGTTTCCTTTAAAGTCAAAGTGTATCTGCCTGAGAGATAAAGCATCCACAGTAAAGTTTGACATGGGGCCTTGTTTTGGACGCTCAGTTTGCAGGACTGTTTACTTCATATTGGTGTGACTGGGGACTGCCTCAGTGCTCGAACAGATGATCAGTGCAACTGCCAGCGGACAGCCAGCTAAAGCCAGGAACAAGGACCCTTAAAACCTGCATCTAACTCAGGCAAGAAAGGAACAGTCTTCGGTGTAATTGCACACCACAAAGGAACAGAACTAAATAAGATAGCAGAGGAACCATCCTTGATAAAGCAGGCCTTTAGGCGGCTAAAAAAAGGACTAAGCTTGGAATTTTTGTTTGATTTTTATGATACGATATGACCTGAGAGATGAGGAACCAACAGTCTGCATACAGAAAAGCCATAGATGTGTACACATAACTCAGGTTCTGGAACAAGACTGAGGTCCAAAGTGGATGAACAACTAGGACTTGCTCCTTTACATGTATGTCATAAGAGTCGATTAACTAGGGATGTTTCCCTTTAAAGTCAAAGGATATCTGCCTGAGAGGTGAGGAGCCAACAGTCTACATACAGATTAGCCAGATCTGTAATATGGATGTACACACATAACTCAGATTGTGGAACAAGACTGAGGTCCAGAGGGGATGAACAACCAGAACTTTCTGCTGGAGCATACAGCTGGTAAATGTGAAGAAGAAGAGGAGGAGGAGTTTGAATTGTATAGTTTTTTATTGGATGATGTAGTCATTCTCACACTAATCCTATCCTGTTTAATACAACATCTGAGTCATTGTAGCTCACTTGTGAGCCCGCAAGCCTATTGTTCAGATTAACACTGAGATTGTATAAATCTAAAATGGAGTACCAAGTAATGTCCCAGGAAGCAAAAGAAATTGATGCAGTGTTGATCACATCACTCATCCAGGGCTGCTAGGTCCCTAGAAATATGGATCTAGCTCTCTATGCCAGATGCACTAAAGCCAGGAAAAAGGTCCTCAGCTTTACTTATTTATAATACGACATACAATGTAGGTTACATCTTTGCTTCAATTGTTTTTTAACTGCCATAACACTGACCATCTGATGAGACTTGAAAAGCGAGTCATTTCAGGTTAACTTGAATCAGGTCACAGCTAGTTCCATACCATCCTTTCATCTGTTTCTTGGCCTACAATATCCATCACTTTCTGAAAACACTGTAGAACAAAAACTAAATAATGATTTACTAATTGACTGGAGAATATATTTCGCAAGTTTTTTTTTTTTTTTTTTTTTATAAAGTTGAATTTCAATTTTTTTAAACCCATGTGGAACACATTAGAGTAGTTTTTTAATAACATTTATATTAAATACCTGACTTTTGAACAGTATTATTAATTGAAAATTGAAAATAATACTGTTTGCCATGTACATTTAAAATACAGTGATGTGTTATTGATGAAAGATAAAGTATAATTACAGTTTAGCAATTCAGATTTGCATATTTTCCTACCAGGATCCTGCTATTTCAAGTGAGCAGCCGGCTGGAACCTACCCTCCTTACGATGATGGTGTTCAGATGGATATCTTTGTGAAGAATGATGCAGGCAGTATTTTGATTGGCCAGGTACTATAAGATTTCATCATTGTTTGACAGTATTATTTCTTTTGTACTCTTTATTTTTATACGCTTTACAAGTCTTGTGTTTACAGTCATTTCTTATAATGTCGTGATTTTACAATGCTGTTTCCTTATTGCGCTTTAAAGATTAAAATCTGTACAATGAACTGCCATAACTAGGTAACTAGAATATTTATTATAATGTAAAACAGGAATAAAGCTATAAGGCATGTTGGTGAACAAATGGACCAAAAAAAAAACACACCTTTATTTCAAAATTGTTATGAATTTAATATTAAAACAGGAGCCGTGATATTAGAACTCTGTTTTCCTAACAGACCCAAGTTGAGCATCATGATAATTATTGTGCTTGACAGAGTGACGCCGCTACAAAATGGTATGGTATTATCCTTGCCACTTGTAGTTACTTACATGACACTGCATTTCTTTTTTGTAGGTCTGGCCAGGAAAAACTGCATTTCCAGATTTTTTTCATCCTAAAGCTGTTGATTATTGGTACAAGCAAGCCAAGGAATTTCATAATCAGATACCATACGATGGCCTGTGGATTGTATGTAATCATTATCATGAATATTAACATCATTATTATTCATGCTATTATAATAATTATTATCTTGAAATTAAAAGCCGTTGGTACTTAGCTAATATAACAAAAAGGATAAAGTAAAGTATTTACTAGGAGAGAGTATCAGATAGTTATTATTACAACTAAAGTATAGTTACTATAACAGCTTAGACATAGTCAATGTAACAGCTTGAATATAATTAAAGTAAAAGCTAGAATATGTTTAACAGCTGGAATGTAGCTAATAAACCAGCTAGGATATAGTTAATAAAAGAGCTAGGATATAGTTAAAGTCACAGCTAGAATAAGGTTAAAGTTACAGTAAATTAAGTCAGCATCTTTTGACCGTTTCTTCTTATTTGTCCTTAAAAGGATAATTGGAACATTGTACTGGGGTTTACAGCTTGGCTGCAGTATCTGCAACTTTTCAGCCCAAAAATAATATTTCAGCAAAACCCTAATAACTCACTCTTTTATGATATGCTTATTTCGTAAACAGTAGGTCTGTTCTTTTTCCCTCCCAAAAAATGAGGTCCTGGAACCTACACAGGGACATCTCTTGACTGATCAACTTAATAATGATGGTACTGGTTTTCATTATTGAAAGAGTTAACTAAATTGAATTTACCACTCATCACTGTGTAGCAGATTCTTTATGAATCATTGCTCCCATCACAGCCTGCCTGAAAGAATCTTGGTCCCTCACAAGCTCTCCTGCCTCATGCACTTTCCTGCCTAAGGTGTCTTCTGTGTCCACTGCCCACTTTCGTGATGGTCAGCTCCTGCCTGTCTTACCAAGTGCCATGCTGTCTGTTATTCTTCTTTCCAAACCACTGCAGTGTTTGATATGGCCAAATAATTTCAGTTTCTAAGACAAGATGGTGTTTACGAACACATTTTCTTTGATATTCAGGTCTTTTAGAATATGAAATTTCTTTTCTTAATGGTTCCTGCTATTCTGAGGATCTTTCTTTAGCATTTCAGTTTAGAAACCCATACTTTCTTCCTTGAGGAAAAAATGTAAATTAACCACTAATCTTGAAAATTAAAGTAAATTTTGTGTGTGTATTTTGAAAGACTTTTTGTTTGATTTAAAATTGTTTTTTGACAGGACATGAATGAGCCTTCCAACTTTGTGGATGGATCCGTCTCTGGATGTACGAGTAATGAACTGGACAATCCTCCTTTTACTCCAGCAAGTGAGACAATTCCTATGTTTGTTTTATGTGGAAAGAGCTATAAAAGTCAAAACCTATCTGCACTTATGCTTCATAGAATATGCTGAAATATTTGACTGTGTGAAACATGAGAAAATAAAAGCAAATACTGGAAAAATTAAACTGTCACTGTCACCGCTGTCTGTACTACCACTTTTAGGAAAGTGTAGACAGCGGTTGGGAGCCTGAAGATTTAGGGCCACATGGCTAGTACTGTCGCCACCAACTGCACAGGTTAGGATGTTTAATTTTGCTCTTGATGAAAAACTCCATCCCCTTACCAGGAGTTGAACCCATGTTTCCCGCATGTGAGCCTGACATTGTAGCCACTCAGTCAGCCATGCCTGAGAAAAATTAAACATTGATTGAAAAGATCTATTAATAATAAAAGAACATGAAATAGCAGTAGTGGCATATTGTCGAGTCATAATCGCCCACACCAGTTATCAAGGAACTTGGTTATGCTGTGGAAAAATGAGCAGGGAAGTCAGAAAGGTGCATGTGGAAAAATTAAAGGTGCATGTGGACAAATTAAACAGCAGGGCAAATAATAATAGTATCACCCACAACAGGAAATTGTCAGACTGCAGACAGTATGGGACAAATAATGATAGTTGTTTTTAGCTCTAGACCAGGCAGCTAAAGAAGAAGTTAATAGTCAGTTGAAGATTATCTTCATTACACACCAAACCATTGAATCCACAAGTGCACAGATTTCTTCATCAAGAAATCCTGCAGCATTTAGTAGCTAAAAGTAGATGTGTTGTTTAGCCATGGTTGTCAATCTTTAACATGTTTTGAGCTCTTTTAGGCTCGTTAACTTTGTTCATATATTTTATATGTTGTATCCTTGGTTGGTTTTTTCATTTATTTCAGAAAATAATATTGTTTCCTTGAGTACCATGAGGTTCTTCAAAAAAAAAAAAAGCTGATTTCATATATGGTCTCATACCAAAAAGAAAAAAAAACTAACATTGTAAGACCTCGGAAAGCCACTTTATTTTTTATCTTTTTTGATGTGTTTGACTTAAATATCCAACACAATTTAATTTAACCTTTTTTACTTTGCATTTCACCTTTCACTTGTTTGTCGGTCCCTTTTCTTCTTTTCTGTACAATCCTATTTTTTTTTTAGCTGTCTATCTTATTTGTGCCTTCTCTTTATTGTTTGACCTTTTGCCTCCATTTGACCTCCCTGTATCACACTTGTGAGCTATGGAGCTTGTAACACACAGTTTGATTCTTGTGCTAGAGGATTGAAACTTTTCATGAACTCACACTTTAAATGTCAAATGACATCATCTAGATTTTTTAAAATATAGATCCTTATTGTCATTTTGTTGTTGTTTTTTATTATGATAAATGATAAAAGCTTTCCAGTGGCAAAAATCCATTGTCATTTGCAATATTGTTCCTGTAAAATATGATCAATTGCAATTTCCAACTTTAATCATTAGAAATTGCCAGTTTTTTTTTAAATCCATAACCTGGCCACATGAGCTTTCAAGGCCAACACTTTTACACTACCAGAACAGATTAGCACTGGGTGCTTAGGTACCAATAATTTATGGTAGTAGTGGGGGGGGGGGGGAGGGGTAGAGAATGGCTAAGTGATGGACTTAACCCACCCCCTAAAAATGTGCAAGGGGGTGAAGTAGTTCCTTTATCATGTATAGATGTTCGGTTGTCAAATATTTGCTTATACATTTCACGTTACAATAAAATCTTGTTAACAAGAATTCCAGTGAACCAGAAAATCATGAGTTTGTGTTTAAAAAATAAATGTTGATAAGAGGGACTGATACATTGTAATAATACATGTATTTCTTTGCTGCGACCACAAGTTTGTTCAAGTTAACTGAGGGTTCTTAATTGAACTCATGTTAACAAGATTTTACTATACTAAGATTTTATTGAATTTGAAATATTATATTTATTTGTAATTTGGCACATTATAATAATAATAATATTTATTATTATTGCTCACTTAAACAAGGTTTAGACCACGCACTAAAAATTTTGTATTTCCACACACACACACACCCCCCCACCCCACTATAGGTCTGTCCCCTACAAAATGGTAAAGGGCTGAACACACCTCTTCTACCCCCAAGTTTTCTTGGTGGCTGCACACCTACAAGAATATATGCATTTTCTAAAATTGTATACTATCTGAATAATATACATTTTAAAAGACAATGTGAAGGCTTTAATATGCACATGTATTTCAAAAACAATTTTTGAACAGCAATTGATGGAGGGAAGCTCATATATCAAACAATCTGCCCTTCGGCTAAGCATGTGATCTCAACACACTACAACTTACACAACATGTACGGCTGGTCTCAGTCTAATGTCTCCAGAAGGTTGGTTTCAAATGAGAGTTTAAAATTTTTTTTTTCCACATTGTTAAGTATTTTTTTTTAATCATCATTATTTTTTGCCACACTGATAAGAATAGATAATTATGGTTAACTAGCTCACATGATCACTATAGCCTCAGACAACATTAGTTATCTTTTCCTGATTTGTCTATGTTGCTCAAACTTTCCAGTTAATCTTTACCTTCCTTTTCTTTTTTTTCCCCATTGAGTCAGTTATCATATAAAAATTTGTGGATGTATATTGGTGACTTCCCTTTGTTTTAAGTATATTCTAAGAATTTTCTTCTTCCATTGCCTTGTATAAAAGAGTTGAATGGAAATAGAATATGAGGCAGACCAAGAGGACGAGAAAGAGATAATATAAAGACAGAAACCTTAACTTGGCGGTCACTAACTGGAACGAGCAACAAGTCAGAGAAGTGAATGGTTGGAGGGGTTTATGCAATAATGAACCTTGAGGGCTTGGAATGCTGAAGAAGGAAAAGATTGCCTTGTTTGGAGCAGATATTGACTTTTGTTAACTCTCCACTCATTTCTGTCAACTGATGTTTTAAGTTAGTGTTACCAACATTATTTGTTGCTCAGCTGTTGAATCTTGCCACATATATCTTTCTTTATCTGTCTTACTGATGGTTTTCATGTCTAGTATTTTCCTCACTTATTTACGTACCTAGTAGCTCCTCTTCTACCTTGGGGTGTAAAGGTTTGCCAGATAGATTGCCAGGCGTCTCTTTTAACAGTTTTCTTTCTGGCTTTGTTCCATTCCAGTCCTCTGTCAGTTAGAGACTGTTGGATGTTGTCTTCCCAGCTCACCCTGGAGGTCTGGTTCCCTGGTTCTTAGCCTCCCATACCTGCCATGGGGGCTGATTTTCTCCCATTCTGCATACTCTGTCCAAACCATTGTAACTGTGACTGATTCACTCGGGTTTGTTAGGACTGGGTATCAAGATTCTGACGTATTGTCTGATTGCAGACTTTGTCCCTTCTTGTCACTTGGACCATCTTTCTCAGATATCTCCTTTCTGTGGCCTGAAGCTGGCTTCTGTGAGCTGTTGTCATTGCCCATGACTCACACACATAGGTCTGGACTGGTACATAGGTAGAGCCATTTTTGTCCTCTTGCCAATTTCTTTTTTGCTAAGAAAAACTCGGTTTATGGCCTGAAAGAGTCTTACAGCAGCAGCTTTTTGTGTAGCCAGCTCGGCCTTAATGCCTCCATTTCAATCTAATACAACTCCAAGGTATTTGAACTGGTTGACCTGCTCCAATGCATACTGTCCCATCATGATCTGGTGTTTCTTCTCCTCTCTTGAGATCACTATGGTTTGAGTTTTGGAGATACTGATGGTCATCACTCTCTTCTCAAACTCTTCCTTTCAGACAAGTAAGTTGGACTGTGCCTCTGAATCAGATTTTCCTCACACAAGGCTATTTTATTTTCAAGAATGAACTTTATCACCTTGAAAAAGCTTGTTTTCCAAGTTTTAGGGGTTTTTGTTGACATGATTGTCTTTGGGCAGTCACCAGTTTACTTATGTAACAGCTTTGGTACTGGTTACAGCTGCATTTTTGTGAGATATTATTTGGGATGAAAACATAGATCTCTTTTGGATCATTTTGAGGGCGTAATTTGTGATTACGTCACTTTGCTCGTGTACAAGTAAATTCTCCAAAATAAAAAAAAAATCATATTAGCCAAGAAGTAGAACTAGTCATCTTCATCATCATCTTCCTACCAAGCCACTATACATCACACAGAGCTTGTAGTCTAGTCCTCATTCTATCCTTACAATTCTTTCCATATCATGGATGGAATCCAGTCAAGCACTTTAGACCTCTCAGCAACATCCATTTTAGAGAACTAGGCAGCTGTCCAATAAAACACACAAATGACAAAATTCCCCTTGCGACTAGAAAGCATTAAACATCCTACAGCAAAAGGAACAATGAAACAACTAAAAAACAATATAAAGTAACTGTTTTGCTGGGGGAAAAAAAAGACCGAAATTTCAGATTTGTTATTAAACCAGTGGATTCTTCTGTTAACAGAACACTTGATCTTCTCTATGGCAACAAGAGATCTCCAATCATTACCCGATCCTCATTTGCTGGCACTGGTAAATTGGTTGGACATTGGCTGGGCGACAATTTTTCAACTTTCCCTGATTTGTATTATTCTATACCAGGTTTGTTACATCTTCATTTTGTCATTTGAATTCTATTGAAGTAGCTTTTTTCTCTTCTACACATCTTTTACTTTTAATTACTTTTAAATCCTTGTTTGGGGTCTGGAGTCCCGTTTATTGTAATCTTAGTTTTTGTAAGTTACTTCCTTTTAGTGTTTATGGTCTTGAAGAGCTGCGTGATCCTGGTGAAGCACATACCCTGGAAATAACATGCAGAGCAGTAAATGTTTGTTTGTTGGGTTCACTGAGTTAGCCTTTTTGGTTGGTTTTGTGGGACATGATGTAATAACCTTATTTGTGTAGTGCCCTCTTTGTCCCTTTATTTACAGGTCCTACCCCTGGATAACCCATCCAGGGAAACAGTGTGCAGACTGTTTGGTCCTCAAGGGAAGGCGGGAGCAGATCATAGACATTCCCCGCCATCCAAGGAGGCTTCCATAAATGCAGAGCCAACACATGACACTCTCTACATCAGCGAACAGGTTGCCCATCGACTGGCCGGTAGATGAGGTCATAACCGGTTGGGACAGTATTTAGGTCTGTCTCCTTTGATCACGTCAACACTGCAAGAGTCCTTTTCAGGGCTTCTTGGTGGCAAGCAGTGCTAAGCCATTTTATATATATATATATATATATATATATATATATATATATATATATATATATATATATATATATATATATATAGAGAGAGAGAGAGAGAGAGAAAAACAAGGAACAAGGATGTCACTCTGTTTTAGTTACAGTTTTATAACAACAATAATAATAATGAAACACATTCTGTTTTCAGCTATCCTCAACTTCAACCTGTTTGGCATCCCTCAGATTGGTGCAGACATCTGTGGATTCAATGGAGTCACAACACCTGAACTCTGCACCCGCTGGCACCAGCTTAGTGCCTTTTATCCATTCATGAGAAACCATGCAGATATTAGTTCACCAGTAAGGATTCTTTAAGAGTGTTGTTTCATCTTGACTTGTTTAGAGAGTAGTGAATGAGTTCAACAGTTTCATGATCCTTGAGTACTGTGGTTTGATGTCCAATGATGGATGGTTTATTTGGAAGACAGTGAAGTTAATACATTGCAGCCAGTCTTTTGTGGAGAACAGCACATAGTGTGTTGGTTTAGACTGCTGAGTAGAGGGAGCTGATAACATAAAATGAGTATATCATATATTCCTTTCTTTTTTTTTTCTTGAGGGGGGTCTCCGTGGTAAAGTTGTCAAGCCGTTTGCCTCACCCTCTAAAGGTCGTGGGTTCGTTTCACGGCTGTGCCCTTCAGTTCACGAATGCAAGATCTCTGGGGATTGCCGCTGGAGCTGTGGAGTTCATGTTCTGCGCTGCGCTTCAGAAGCAGTTAGCCGCTCTGCATAGATGGACCAAGCCATAGGGGATAATACCTGATGCAATGAAGTTGATCCTCTTGACTTCAACTTTTAACCTTTGTTTTGTTTACTTTATAATGCTGGTTTGCTTCAATTTTGAAAATCACAGTATCAGGATCCAGGAACTTTCCAGCTCCCATTCAGAGATTACATGAAGACTGCCATAGAGTTGAGATACAGACTTCTGGCTGTGCTCTACACTGCCTTCTACAGGGCTCACACTCAAGGCTTGCCTATTGTCAGGCCTCTCTTTTTCTTGTAAGTACATAGCAATGTATAATTAATGATGCAGCTTAGATAGAATAATATTGAAAGATGTGGTTCTTTGAAGAAGAACTGCAACTCAGCTCTGGCTGTGAAAGATGAGGACGCAGCAATTATGGGAATGTCCCGATCGCCGTGATGTCAGTTCTAAACTCAGGGTAACAAGAAGAGGCAGATGCTTATGTGTTCAAAAGTGGACGTTTAGTAAAAACACTGTGGGCAGGAAAGTACATAAAAAAATAACAAAGTAAAGGATCTTTTTTATGCCAGAGTCACATCAGGTATATGATGCTAGACTATTTTTGTTTGTTTGTTTGGCCCAGAACCTTCGGGTGTGTGTATGGTGATGACATCCTTTACGATAAAACACACATGGTAAAAGCTTTCTGGGGTCAAGTAACATTGCAGTGGAACAGACAGTTCATCCAGGATATGACGAGTTGAAAGGTAATGAAAGATGCGGCAGACTGGCTGAGTCTGTAGTTGTTAATGGAGAATGAAGTATGGACGGGGCAGACTCACTGAATGTGCTGCATTCCAGAGATGTTGAGACAAAGGAGTAAGAGATGATGAACAACCTGTTGGAAATTAAATGAGGACAAGCATGCAGAAACCGACTGAGGGGCAAAGACTGTTGGTTCCTTGCCTCTCAGGCTGATGCACTTCGACTTGAAGAAAAAACCCCTAATTCATCACCTCCTACGACATGCTTGTTAGGTTCCTTCCAAAATGGATTACCAGATCCCACATGAGGAGCTGAAGGAACTGAGAATACAAAGCTTACATCAGTTAGTGCAAAGAAAGATAAAATTAGACTGCATCTACAAGCAAGAACACGTCACTTGACTCATCAGGTTGAGACAAGTGAACATTGTAAAGTAAGACAAGAAGATTGATTGCCTGAGATTAGGAATGCAAAGTTTAGCTATGAAAAGATATCAAACTAAATTAAAAGTAGAACTAATCGGTGGACGCTGTGGCTAGAAAGCTTTCATCAGAAGGTTACATGAATAGAAAATGCCACAAATATGAACAAGAATACACAAAATATGAAGAAATATGAAGTTTCTCCAAGAGAAATCAACTTGTCTGTCTTGTCAGGTGAATCTCTAACATGAGTGTGAACACTGGAAATGTATACTAGCCAGAAAAGGCTGTGACAGGCTAGGGCAAGAACTCAAAAATATTAGATAAAAACGTGTTGGATGTTAAACCCCTAGGAGAGTTGGAGTCCATTAGATAGATAAGGCTGTTCTCGAGAGACCTTCAGACTCTGTCACTGGAGTGCCTGGACATAATTACTGTAACCTTCAGAAATGAAGTTGTTATGTCTTTCCTGAAGATATTGAATTTCAGGAGACTTGTGTCTGAAACTGTCCTTCTAGTCATTATTTTCCTGTCCCCACCAGGTACCCAGGCACTGAGGCTATTGACAAACAGTTCATGTGGAATGATCAGCTTCTTGTGTCCCCTGTTTTAGACAAGGTAGGTCTTTTATTAAAACCATGCTGTCCGAGCCAATTACTTTTCATGGCATAATGAAAATGACATAACTGGGAGAGGTAGGTATATGGGTTATCCCCTCCATAATTGCAGTCTGCAGGGCTAACACATCAAGGATTAGAATTTTAGATCTACAAATCTTGGAAGCACCATTCAGCTGCTTAGCAATTATACTGGAGTTTCCCCCAGTGTTTACATAGTAACCTGAAGTCTGGACTGGGCAGGGGCCTGTCGATAACTGGGACACACTAGTACACATAAATGTAGAAACTAGACTGCTAACCCACTTCCTTACGACACTTTTATCGATTAGGTTTTTTTTTTTTTGGGACTGTCCTTGTACATTTGTCATAATTTGCAGTTTTGTAGTTATCTTGATTATCATTTTCATCATCATCCTTATTGTCACAATTGTTTGCAACCAGTTCAGTGTGTAGGTGGTTCTAAAATAATGTAGATGAGAATATTTCTGCATCATACTCAACTGTGGTTATGTGTTTGAATCATCATTAGGAAGGGGCTTATTTGAACATTGACAGGCTTTCAAGTTGACCCTGCCTAAAATGGTCAGTATAAGATGCTTGCTGAAGTAAAGGTGACCAGCATTATTTTGATTACCTCCGTCAAATATTATTTGGTCTATGAAACTGTGATGTTGTTCTTTCTTCTTCTTCAGGTTCACTGGCTGTAAACTTCAGTAAAAGGTCCGGGTTATTCATCCACTTCTTGTCCAGAACTTGATTTTTGTGTGCACATCCATTTTACAGATCTGGCTTATTTGTATGCAGACTGTTGGTTCCTCGTCTCTCCGGCAGATGTACTCTTACTTTGAAGAAAGGAAGCACCCCTAATTAGTTGACTTTTATGACAACATCATATACCATTAAGTCTATGAAACTGTGGGGTTAGCATAAAATAACATTCATTCTCCCAGGTCATGGGAACATGTCCTTTGCTATATTTTATCTCAGGCTTTTGAGCCAGAAGAAAAAATGCACAGTGAATGAATAAATGAATAAACTAAGGAATGAATCAGTCAGTCAGTCAGTCAGTGAATGTATGAACAAATGAAGACTGTTACCTATTTCACAGTATTCGTATTTTATTTTTCAGGGAGCCTCATCTGTCCAAGCCTTCATCCCAGATGATGTGTACTATGATTTCTACACTGGAGCTTTGGTAGCACAACGGGGTCAGACTGTACAGTTGAATGCTCCCATTGATTATATCAATGTCCATGTTCGTGGGGGATCCATTTTACCACTTCTGCCTGTTACCCAACGAACTAATTTGTCGTAAGTAGCTATGAAACAAATCTCAGCAAAAGTGTTCATATTCTGTATAAAACGTTGATAATTCTACTAAACATAAAGGTCCCATAGCTCCCTGCTGGGTTCTTGGGCCCATTGTAGGCGAAGACAAGAACAGACCCACTACTTGCCTGAAAGCATGTCGTTAGAGTTGACTAATTGGGAGCTTCCTTCGAAGTCGCAGTACATCTGCCTCAGAGGCAAGAAACCAACAGTCTGCATACAAATGAGTCAGACCTGTGAAGCGGATGTGCATGCAACACTCAGCTCCTGGAACAGGACTAGAGTCCAGAAGTGGATGAACAACCAGAACTTTCTGCCGGAGTTCACAGCCGGTGAATGCGAAGAAGAAGAATAAAGTTGCGATAGTAGATTATATTGTTTGTCATCATCGTTATATTTCCCATATCCCACCGATTTTCATTAGGTCACTAGTTACTTTTGACTGTCTGATCAGTTCCTTCTACCTCTCTCAGTCAGATGCACTTTATTGATGTTTACTCATCTGAGGCCGGTCTAGTCAGCCAAATTATATATCCAGGTCTGTATAGGTCTGCTGTTTCTCCTCTACCAAGAGTACATCTTATTACATACCCATACTTTAGCATCATATATCTTTTTATACCCATACTTGAGCATCATATATTTTTTAACTGCTGGTAATACAGGTTCATGGTTGCCAATGTATTCAGCAATGATAGGCAAATTAGATATCACTGTTAATATGTTGAAATTTTTAACATCAGTATTCTGTTATGCCATAATACATTGCACAAGGCTCACAGTCTAGTCCTTCATTCCATTCTGTCCTGTGCAATCCTCTTGATATCATAGATGAAATCCAGTTCAGCACCCTTGGCCTCTCTCAGCAACGTTCCTCTCAGTGTGCTGTGTGAAAGTTGAGACATTCACATAGTCTAAGCCACTACAAAAAGGGTGTGGTGGCTGACTTCCACCATTGTCACTTTTCCTTCCATGACAGTTCCTAGAAAATTGTCGGGTACCTATTTTTTTAAGCAAAAGTGGGTTCTGTCCCACAACCTTTCATGTGAGAAGCAATAATCCGGATTCTACTGGTGACTGAACCTACATCTCTGTTGTGACAGGCAAAACATTTATCACTATGCTATAACCACTACTTCCTGTTTACTTCCACTGTTACATTTTTAAATGGCAGTTTAGGAAGAGTTTCTGGGGCAAGGTACTCATGTAAGCTGTCCATGAAGTTTTGTTTGTTGTGTTTGCTGATCTGCTAACCTTCTCAACTGAAGATTCTCTTTCCAGCTCTTTTCTGCAATATATAAATGGCATTGCTGTTTAGAGCTTATTGTTTATATGTAGTCTTCACCAACCCATCTGTTGTTTTCTTTCTGCCAGATAAAATTTTTTTGATTCCTAGTTTATAGTGGCTTGAGAATTGTTTGGTAACAATTGGGATGTAGAACTTGATAATGAAATACCCACAACTAATAGGGGAAGCATTACCAACCTAAGCCTAATCCTAGCCAGACAGTGCGTGCTGAACTCAGCCATCATGACCAGGTTACATCCTAATATGCCTCTATGGGTATGAAGCTCTTGTACCAGTTTTAACACTTTATTGGATTCTGGGCTTGAAAAGGGGAAGACAGGATGTGGAGATGACACTTTGATTTAGGTAAAAAGTTAAAGTAAAAGACCCTTTTCCATGTCTTCAGGCACATTGGGCATATAGGGCTAGATGAATTGGCACTTAGAGAACTTCATGCCAGCCCCCTTTACTTATCTGGATTGTACCTGGTATCCATTGAAGTCTGGGTCGATGTGGGAGCCAAGGTCATTTTTGACAAAAGTCAGGCTCCATCAGGACCTGAACCCACGACCTTCTGATCTGCTATACCATGGCAGCTCCCACTTTGATACTGGAAGGGAGAAGAGTTTCTACATTAACCTTAGCCCTTCTTAGGAATTGACTTGGAAGTCAGCACTATGGACTCAAAACTTTTGCTCTAGAGGATTCACAATCAACCATCTAGCCAGCCAGTGAACCAACCACTCAGCCATCAACTCAACTAGCTAGCCAAGCTGTTAACCAACCAACCAGCTAACCAATTTACCAGCCATCAAATAGTCAGTAAAGTTTTGTAAGTTTTTTGTGCACATCCATTTTACAGATCTCAGTTATTTTTTATGCAGACTGTTGGTTTCTAACATCTCAGGCGGATGCACTCTGACTTTGAAGGAAGCATCCCTAATAAACCTACTCTTATGACACGCTTGTTGGGAGTCAGTGAGTCTGTTGTTAATTTTCCCCTCATACAGAAACTGAAACCCACATGGGAGGTTTACATAGTTTGTTAACAGTTGTCAATGAGAAGTGGGAACATTGGGAAGTGGAAACTTTGATGTGTGGGAACATTGAAAAGTGGGAACATTGAGAATTTGGAACATTGAGAAGGATGATGTGATGGTGCTTATTGATAAATTTGTGCTGTGAGATAACTGCCCCTGATAACAGTGATGTATGATGGTATAGCATTTACTTATAGAATTGTATGCCAGTGATAAAATATATCAGTGATAGTGCTGAGATACGTAAGTATTTGTACGTATAGACGATGGCAAAGGGAGAATCTACAGTGTGTATGTACATGTGAATCAACTCTCTAAAAGCAAATAGAATTTCTTATAGTAAATCAGTAGATGATTCATATGGTAAATACCCTATAGCTGGAGATCTCAAGACTTCATTAAAAAAAAAAAACATTTGGGAAATCTTACAAAAATTAACTTAGCTAAGGCACTGCTCGGCATTAGTGTGGCTGTTTTGAATGATGATGATGCTAAAATATTTAATGTGGGTATCATAGATTTGGCTTTGATTTCCAGTATAGATTTTCCTATCCGCAAGCTAAATGTTCTGTGAGCTCAGAACAGGTTCATCTGCAATGTGTCATGCTCATCCCAAAGGGGCAGTTGTGTCAGACATGCTAAGGCCAGACACATCTCCATATTATGCATTAGAGACCTAGCTGAACATTTGTCCATCCTTGCCTTGAAAGGCCAGACACAAAACAAACAGAACAACTTTTATCCAGCCACCATGGTGGAATAAGAGAGTTTAAATCCTTTTATTTGTAAACAGACGGAAGGAAAAATTCCAGCTGATTGTTGCTGTAGCAGCAGATGGCACTGCCAGTGGTGAACTGTTCTGGGATGATGGTGAAAGCATCGGTAAGTACAGCTACAGTGGGTCTTTTTAAAGAGCAACAATTCCCATTTAACATTGCTTATATAACTTTTTTTTTTTTTTTTTTAAATTGAACCTGCTGTTTATTTACGATGGCAGTAATAATAAAAAAAATTACAATTATGATTAGAAGATAATTAAGTGCACATGCTCGCCTGCGCCGCGCGAACTCAAAGATACACGCTTAGCTAAAGATTTCTGTGTGTGTAATTATGCATTGAGACGAATGCATTAATTTGTCTTTTTATTCTGTCTTATCTTTTCTTGGAGCATAAACCCTAAATCAGCTCATGCCAAACCCTCGATCTTTTGCCATAACTTGCAGCTTCCTCATCCTCCCATAATAGATTTTCTCAAAGTGTGTCCTGTCCAGTGCCAGAGTTTTATCCTCACCTCTAGATTCAGCTTAATTTGTTTACTTCTTTCCCTTAGCTTTGCATTGGTAATTTAAGTAAATGTGTGTAATTTTAAGTAATTGATTTAGTCATGATGACGCACCGCGTAAAGAGAATAGCAAATTGAATTTGTCTGTCCAAAAGCACAGTGAAGATCAAAATCTGTTCATGAATTTAAAGAAAACGAAAACGATGTCCCCAGATAAAACTGGCTGTCACCCAAAATTAACAATATATGATGAAGAAATTGAAAATGTCACAAACTTAGAATATCTAGGCTCTATAATAAACAAAAATGGAGACTGTTCGACAGAAATTAAAAGGAGGATGGCCATAGCAATGCAAAGATTTAACAGCCTTAAAAGTCTATGGTTAAGCACCAGCAAGGAGATACAAATTAGAATTTTGAGAGCATGCCTCTTCCCTGTGGCTACATACGGATGTGAGTCGTGGATTATCTCTCAGTCCTTAAGAAAGAGAATAGGGGCTTTTGAGCTGAAATGCTATAGAAAGATTCTCAGAATATTTTGGACAAAGAAGATGAGAAATATTGACATCTTAAAAGATCTGAACATCAAGGAAGATTGGCTAATAAACAGCATCCTTTCTCGAAAGCTGAAATATTTTGGTCATATCAAGCGCCACGACGGATTGGACAAAATAATAGCAGAAAGCATGGTACCAGGAAGGATGGGCAGAGGCCGACCGACACGAAGATGGGTACAGGATATATGTGACTCCTTGAGAGTGAAAGTGCATGAGGTGGGAGAACTGGCAAGAGACCGAGTTTCTTTCAGGCAGACTGTGATGAGAGCGACGTTCTGCAGAGGACCTGCTACATGATGATGATGATGGTTTTTTCATTCTCTGCAGATTTTATTAGCTGAACTGATTTTTTGTTTCCTTCACAGACAGCGTTTCTGGAAATAAATATTCTGACATCACCTTCAGCCTGACAAATTCTGTAAGTAGTTTAAAGGAAGTTTTGAATATCAGCTTTAGTTTTGGATCACCTGTTGTTTATTATTATAAAATAGCATCACTTGCAATCAAATAGAAAGTTATCAAGAAACAGAGACTGGTAGAATTGATGGAGAGAACAGTCAGGCCAACCATGTTAGTTTACACTGTACTGACATCAAGAGATGTGTTGTAGCTAGTTTACTCTGTTGGCTAATGTACTGACATCAAGAGATGTGTTGTAGCTAGTTTACTCTGTTGGCTGATGTACTGACATCAAGAGATGTGTTGAAGCTAGTTTACTCTGTTGGCTGATGTACTGACATCAAGAGATGTGTTGTAGCTAGTTTACTCTGTTGGCTGATGTACTGACATCAAGAGATGTGTTGTAGCTAGTTTACTCTGTTGGCTGATGTACTGACATCAAGAGATGTGTTGTAGCTAGTTTACTCTGTTGGCTGATGTACTGACATCAAGAGATGTGTTGTAGCTAGTTTACTCAGTTGGCTAATGTACTGACATCAAGAGATGTGTTGTAGCTAGTTTACTCTGTTGGCTGATGTACTGACATCAAGAGATGTGTTGAAGCTAGTTTACTCTGTTGGCTGATGTACTGACATCAAGAGATGTGTTGAAGCTAGTTTACTCTGTTGGCTGATGTACTGACATCAAGAGATGTGTTGAAGCTAGTTTACTCTGTTGGCTAATGAACTGACAGTAGCTCAGACAGTTTCAGCAGAAGAATTTGGGAGTTAAAGTTGAAGAAATTATGAGTTTCAGCTGAAGAATTTGGGACAGTTAAAGCTGAAGAATTTACAAGTGTTAACTTGACAGTTTGGGACAGATTTAACTTGAAGGGTTTGGGTTTTTTAAAAAGGAAAGAAAAAAGACCAGAAAGCAAAATAGAAGACAAGAAAGAAAGCAGAATGAAAAAAAGAAAGCCTTCTTCTTCTTCACTTCCTCTTTTACTGCTTCAGGTGTCGAGGGAGATATAAAGTTCTGCTTCTTTCTCTTCTGGCTGCCTCAGGGTTATCTTTTCATCTGGTTCTTGATCCACTTCATGCTGTACGTCCTTCAAGCTCCAGGAACGCCTATTATTCAATAAAGCTGAACTTATTCATAAAATCATATCTAAAAATGCTCCATGTTACCTTTGGCCATTATTTAAATACAATGGAAGACATAGCAAACGCCTTAACATATTGCAAATCTCTAAACCTAGAATAGACCTATACAAAACAAGCTTATCATACTCTGCAGCTCAGCTGTGGAATCATCTTCCACCGGAAATAAAAAATATCAATAACCCCTATACATACAATCGGAAACTATTTGAATATTATCTCACTACAGACTATATACCCCCTTAAATGAATATACTATGTTAAGGCTATGATGTATTTCCATGAGATGTCTAATAAAATTTTTTGTTTGTTTGTTTGTTTAAAAACTAAAGCTTATTATTGTTTAAAACTGAAGATGCCAGTCGAACACATTCCAATGTTTGTAACTAATATTTAATTGGTTTTGATGATGTTTATATTATGCAACCTGTAAGACTTACATCATTTTTGGTATAGGCTTATTTTTATACTCTTTAAAACGTTCAAGTAATGTCAGTATAAATTAGAGCACATTCCAGCATTTGTAATTAAGACCTTTTTTTCTATAATTCTTAAATTTTAAATTTTGTATTCCTCTTTTTATAATTATTATTATTATTAATATTATTGTTATTATTATTATTATTATTATTATTATTAACTATGAAATGAGTTACAAATGAAAATTGTATGAAAGGAGCGGAGTCGAAGGGCAGAATGTTAGACGGGCCTGCGTGCCCAATTCTTAACCCTTTGAAAATAAAGTTTGTTCGTTCCTTCGTTAGTTCATTTCTTCTCCTCATTTAGTTTATGCATTGTATGAATCTGCTTAATTTGGACACAACGTTTACCCTGTATTTTAGAACCACCTGACTAGTACTGTTGTCAAGGGAGGTTATAACCCTCCAGAAGGAGTCAGACTTGCCACAGTGATACTCTATGGCATTAACCATAGCCCTGGGAGTGTCAGTGTCAATGGGAAAGGTGCCACTTTCAACTATGATGCAAGTTTAAAGGTTGGTCTGTTGTACTATTTGTATATCAAACTGTCATTTTCAAAATGGTTCTTTTAGTAAAATATACATTCAGACAGTTTATTTGCAGATTTTTAGTCTTGTCATTCAGATTCTCAGTTTTGTTTGGGCTTCAATTCCACGTTTTAAAAAAAAAGTCCCATTTTCACCCTTGAAGTTTGGGAGGCTTTGCTAGCTTCAGTCGGCACTGTGTGTAATCTGTGATGTGATCAGCATAGCAACAGTGACCTTTACTCCCACGACATTTTATTATACCCAATTTAAACTGGGTCAGTCCGGAAGGTCAGTCAGGTTTAAAAATCTGCCTAAATAGAGATCTGAAATGATGACCAGCAGCCATATTTGATTTGTTATTGTTCATTTCAGGATCATCTTTATTGCACACAGGTGCTCTGATCTTCCCCTAAACATGATTCTTATTGTGTTTATGTTGATGGCTCATGTTCTGTACTGGTTGATGTAACAACTGTGAGCTATTACATGGTTTTCACAGCACTGCTCCAACAGGCATATCTAGATTTCTCATCTGAATCAGAGAAAAATAATATTCTTCATGTTCGAGGTCTTCAGTGCGTGTTGTCTCATAAAGATTTAATTGTATCCATCCTGCCCATAGAAGGTTCATTTTTGATGAAAGTAAGTCAAGGACCATTTTTGCTGTGGTGATGCAACGGGTATAAGATGCTAACCAGACTCGTTACCAGTCGCCACCTGATGGGTGATGTTGGCCACATGGATTTCTTTTGTATACAGAGACCATTTAAAAACAAAATAATTACACATCATCTGATATTTCTTCTTCTCCTCCTTTTTCAGCATTCCGAGCCCTTGAGGTTCATTGCTGCAGAAATCCCGTGCCTCCACTCATCTCTCTTGTTGGCCTTCTCTTTCCAGTTGGTAACACCAAGAGTTTGCAGGTCTCTCTGGACATTATCTCTCTAGCTGTCCATTTAAATCCATCAAAAATTAAGGCTCAACTATCTATTTCATGATGAGATGTTTTACAAAGGTGGGGTGTCGGCCCCAAGCTTCACCCCCCAACCTGGAGGACCAGAGTGTCTCTCTTTGTCTGTTCTCTACCCTTTGAGCTTTCCGGTTTGGAAGGCCCTGCTGGTAGCTATGCTACCACCGGCATAGCTCTCAGGGTCATTGAGAAACACAAGCTCCTTTGGGGGATATATGATACACATTAACAATAGCGGATCACACAGTACCTTTATTAGGACATAAAGAGTTAAGAATGTCAGTATTTTTCCTCCTCTATGTCCATGATACTCAAATACCGATCACATTGTCACCAACTCTGTGTCTGATAACATTTGTGTTTCAGGTTGTGCATGTGAACAACCTTGATGTGGACTTGCTGACTCCGTTGTCTCTAGTACTGAACTGATGGCAGAATTCTTCAAGTAGACCTACCAGTATTCCTTAGTACATAATGATTCAACAGCTCGGGCAGATTCAGATTTTAGGACTGTCTGAGATGAGAACTAGGACTGTCTCTCTATTGGCATGGCACATGTTAATGATGACGATGATAATGATTACATGAGAGTTAGAGTTGGTGATTCATGTTATGTGTTTTTTTTATTAAATACTTTGAGATTTAATGCATTGAAAGCAACTTTTATAATTTGATGGAGTGCATTGATTGCAACATGTATGTGGTATAGTTTGATAGAATGTGTTGAATGCAACTTGTAAATGGTGTAGTTTGATGGAAGGCATTGAAAGCAACTTGCAAGTGGTATAATTTAATGGAGTGCATTGATTGCAACTTGTATATGGTATAGTTTGATGGAGTGCATATTTTAGAATGTAGTCCATAGTGTATCAACTCAAAAGTTAAAATTTAGTCCATAGTGTATCAACTCAAGAGTTGAAATTTAGTCCATAATGTATCAACTCAAGAGTTAGAATGTAGTCCATAGTGTATCAACTCAAGAGTTAAAATTTAGTCCATAGTGTATCAACTCATGAGTTAGAATGTAGTCCATAGTGTATCCACTCAAGAGTTAAAATTTAGTCCATAGTGTATCAACTCATGAGTTAGAATGTAGTCCATAGTGTATCAGACTTAAGAGTTTAAATGTAGCTCATCAGTGCATAAACAAACGAGTTAGGATTTAGTCCATCAGTATATGAAACCTAATAATTAGAATTTAGGCCATCAGTCTCTATCAAACTCAAGAAATTGAATTTAGTCTATCAGTATATATCAGACTCAAGAGTTAGAATTTAGTCTATCAACATAGTGAAATAAAGAATTTGATTTCAATCTTCCAAAAAAAACTATCTTCTATTTCTTCTGTGTTTACCCTTAAAATAGCAGTTGGTATGTTCTTTTGTGGTTAACAACTAGGTTGTAATACCTTCACCTCTAAGCTCAGTACACCCGATTTCAGCAAAACCTTGATTAGTTGCCTCATCACATGCTTGATATGGGGTAGTGCATCTATTCTTTTTTCTCTCTCTCTCCAAAGATGAGGCCCTAGAGCCCACAAAGGAACAACCAACCATACAATCCAACATTTGTCTCTCACAATAAAATAACTAGGGTTCATATAATCAGACCAACCAGTAGGAACACATAATGATTTTATTAGGCTGTCGGTAAACTGACAAAACATGCAGTCATCCAATATATACCCACAGTGTTTAACTCTCAGTACCAAGCAGTTATTACTTTAACTCCTTATGTCTGAAAGAATTGAGCTTCTTCTTCTTCTTCTTCTTTAGTCCTTTATTGCCTTTCAGCGTTAGCTTTTGAATAGGCAATGAGTGAAGGCTTAGGTATTGTCACACAAATGCTGGTATCTATGGCCTTGGATATTCTATCTATCTATCCGTGGCTTGCGTGGTCGCTCTGTGGAACTGCTTCCATTATGACTGTGTGACAGGGCTGTCTGTGGTGCTCTGTCTCCTGATAGTCCCGACACATGTTCAAACCACCTGATCTGTTGTATCTTGTAGATTAATACTGCTTCCATGTCTTTTCTGATTTTGTCATTTCTGATCCTGTCTCTTCTAGTTATATTTAGGATTCGTCTTTGACATTTCATTTCTGTTGTTTCGATTTCTGAGTGAATTGGTTCAAAGAGACTCTACAGAACAGAAGTTTAACCCCATTTTATCACATTTTGTCACAGGACAGTCCAACATTTTAGAGGGTAGTAAGACTGGGTTTCCTGGTTTTCTGATGCTTTTAACGACCACAAAATATCTAGAACTGGCCCTAACCCTAACCCACCTACGTCCCACGAAAGAGTGCAGCCTAGGTCACATGACTGCGTGCAGCCTATCTAACACCCCTTGAAATATTAGACTCTCTTGTGACCTGTGCATTTCCCCTGTTTGGGGTAGGATATTAATAAAGCACCGTTAAACTGATAATCCAGACACAAAGGGTTAATGTAACTTTTGTCTACAGCAGAAGACGGTGATAACATCATATATCTTTGGAATGACCAAGAAGCGTATGGAGATCTGTTTGGTACTGAAAGAGTTCAACAATCACGGTAGATGAGACTAGAAATGCTGAACTATATAAATAAGTCTTGCATATTATTATAATGTGCCATCATCTAAATATAATCTGTACATCATAGAACAAAAAAAAAAAATTGTGTACAGCCACAGAAGAAGTTGATTACAATTTGTCAAATAAGGTGGAAGAACTGACTGGCAAAAGAGAATCTACAACAAAATGGCAAAAATATTATTATAATTTTAAAATAAAAATGCTAAACAGGAAATGAAGAGGCAGACAGAACAGAGAGATATCTTATTTGTATATGGATGAGTACAAGTGATTACTGTTAGGCTGACACTATACACTGGCAGAAAATTAAGAGATAAATAGTAAACTGAAACAAGCATAAAACAAGATATAAAGGTAAAGGTAAAGTTGGGAGATGTGAACCAGCGTCATTGCACATGGTTATAAACCATAAGTGCTCTGCCACCAGTACGGACAGCTGATAAGAAACTGTCCGCCTGTGTCGCCGTCCGCACGTAACTCTGTAGCTACAGCGACGTTCCTCCATTTACCCCAGATTGTCACTCTGGTACCCATTTCCTAGAGGCGGGGTGAACCCCGGGAACCGCCCGGTTTCAAACACCGACCGGGGCTGCAGCGAGTCGCAGCAGGATTTGAAAACGACTTTGCTAACGCTAATATGGTGACGTGAGGGGGAAAAAGGAAATATATAATAGATTTTATTATGTAGGTGTCCCATTGAAGTGTTCCAATTCCCGGAGCTTGCTCCCAAACATTCACTGCACCAAGTACTAGTCCCATTAAAGTGTTCCACATTATGGAACTTACTACCAATAGAACATTCCACACAGGAGTTCCCCATTTTCAATCAACTATAACAGCATTTTTTCATTAAAGACAAAATGTCTCAACAACAAACAATATGTCTACAGTTTGTCAGCTTTATGAAAGACACTGGTACATTTAATAGAAAAATACTGTTTAAAGCAGCAGCACCACCACCAGGTGTCGCTCCCTGAGCTCTTGTAGACATTAAAAACTAAAAAAAAAAAAAAACAACATTATTTCCCGGAATGTGCTCAAAGAAAAATGGTGGAAGAGCACAGCATACATGAATATATTGCCCTGACAACCTCAGTTCTAGAATGACATTTACAGTTTTGTGCCTGGAAAGGATATAATTTACATTTATAATTTCACATGACTCAATACGCAAACAAGAAACTTTAACTTGTCAGTCAGAAACATTCTAGCAGAAATAGTGCAAAGTTAACATTCAGCTTCTGCTCACTTCACAATGGATGAATATACGAGTAGTATAACACTGATGGAATTTCACCTAAATTGTAGCTGTTGTCCAGGGTGGATGGTATCTGTGATTGGTGACAATATATTTCTTGGTTTAGGCTGATGATATCAATTAGTGACAACACAACAGATGATTCTGACAGACAAACAAAGTGTGGTTCATAAACCCACTTAGTAATTATGCCACGTGTATGAAATAGTTTATGTTTGAAAAAATCTAAATGTATAAGTAATTCTAAATGCATTTATTTATTTTATATTATACAACATGTAAGCATCATGCAAACTACAAAATACACAGATTTTAGCTCCATTTATAATATACTGTTCCACAACAACAACAACAACAAAATGAAGTTATCCCATGGGGCATTTTAATAAATTGACGGGAAAACCCATACGCCTAAAATTAACTGACAACCCAGATTAAAACAGTATGGTCAACTCTTCTTCTTGGATCCTTCTGTCAGAAAACTTATATCAGGAGGCCAGTAGCCTTTATGAAAGCTTTCGTGCAGCCCATATCTTCTCGTGTACCATACAGTTTTGTCTTCATTGTGGTTGGAACAGGCCAGCTGATTGGCTATTATTCTTGTGTGCAATTCTAACAGTTGTACTCATTAAATTACACAGAATTTGAGTGCCAAAACCATGACACAATTATGTTCCTTTCAGTAGATATGCCTTTTTTTTTCTTCTCTCCATGTAGTAAAGCACCAATGGATAATTACGTGTTTCTTTTTGAGTGCGAACAGAACAGGTAAAAATAAAGTACAAACAAATGTCAAAAAATAAGCAAAGCACTGGTGGATAAGCATATATGAATCTAAACATGTTGACTGCAAATGTTAGAGCAAAATGTCTGCGGTCGAACTGATCATAAAGTGTTCACTCCAGACTCTCCTCAAGAGTTGATCATTGTAAACCAGTGTTTCCCAGCTTTTGTGTGTGCCATGCCCCACGTAAGCCTTTCTAAAATTCTTATGCTCCCCTATGTAACATACACATAATACTTAAACTCTGGACAAGTCCATTTTCACAATCCCCATCCTGTCCCCTACAATTGAAATACCCCCCCCTTCCCCTGTGGGGCGTGGTTCACATGCTGGGAAACACTTTTCTAGACTCTCCTTAAGTGTCCATGTGATGGTCAGTTCAGCAACAGGGACAAGGGTTTCAGTAAGTCCACATCAAGATTAGTCACTCGTACAATCTAAGAGACAAATAACAATACATATCTTAAAGCTGACATTAGAACTTTGAGTTACAACACTAATTTATCATTACAAAATACAAGAAAAGCCTTTTTAGATGGATATAATTATGGAAAGGGAAGTTAAGCTCCTAACTGATTAGAATGATATTCACAATCCATCGGTCACGTAGCAGGTCCTTTGCAGAATGTCGCTATTATCACGGTCTGCCTAAAAATACCTCGGCCTCTTGCCAGCTCTCCAGCCTCGTGCCCTTTCAAAAGAATTTTATATATACATATTGTCTTCTTTGTGTTTACCAACTGTTAACTCCTATGAAAAGTTCTAGGTATTGACCCAGCTCTGGACTTTAGTGTTTTTCCAGAACCTCAGTGTTGTGTGCTCATCTGTTTTACAGATCTGCCTCATTTGTACGCAGACTGTCGGTTCCTTGCCTCTCAGGCAGATGCACTCTGACTTTGAAGGAAGCTCCCAATTAATCGACTCTTACCATATATACACATATATATATACAAGAGAATTATTTGAGAATAAAAGATCTATGAACCAACATTTGCTGATAATGAAGGCCCTAGTATTCTCAAGTCAAAATAGAGTAAACAAAATGAAGAAAAGAAAAACCAGGAAGGGGTCAAGTGGAGTGATGTCAATTTTAGATTGGTTCCTTCGTTCAAAGTCACTCTCTGTGCCACAAATACATACATCAGCACCCACCCAACATCACAACAAAAAGACGTAGTCTAGCACTAGGTCTGACTTCTCTTAACCTCCATAGATTCCTTGGTGCTACAACAGCCTCCCTTTTATCTTCTGTACTTCCACATTCATTAACATGGGCGTTTGAATGCAAACAAAGAAGATAATAAGTGGATTTGCTTCTTCTGTGTTTATTTGATTTTTTGATGTAATCCTGTATTTTACACTTTATGGTCTCCAGATCCAACATTTTTATTTTTTTTTTAAATCATTTCTTCAGGCATTTGTTGTCTAGGTTAGCCTATCCAGCTGTAAATGGATCTAATGAAAAGAAATCAACCAACCAACCTTCAAGGCCGCATCGTAGTCAAATGTGGCGGGTGCTCCATTGACACTGACACTACCTGGGCCATTATTTATGCCATAGAATGTGACAGAGCCAAGTTTGACTCCTTGGGCTGCACTGTAACCTGCCTTGATGACAAGGCTGTCAAGGTGGTTCTGAAACACAGTTTAACACTGATTAAGACGTTTATATAAACTCAACCCCTTACTCAATTACAGTGATGAATGGGTAATGAAGGGGCCTAAGACTTCTTGTTTCAGTCAGTAATAATAATCATAATAATCATTTGATGAATGGCAAATAAAATAATAATATACTTAAAATAATGTGACAAGTATAAATAAAAGCTGAAAAAGAGAATTTTCTACACCTAGTTAGAGGAGAAGAAATTCCAGTGAAATATGACTAAAAAGCTCAACGAAATTGGCAAGCAGAAAAACGTCCACAAAACAACACAAGTGGCCTACATTTTATTTCATATTATTACTTTATTCTTTCTCTTATCAGTACCATTTTGTATCATTAACATTTGTATTTCCATTACTCTTTTATTCCGACTATTATATTACATATTAACAATAGTACTTTTCAGGTCGACCTAGCCTAAAATGGGTACCAGGATGGCTGTCCTGGGGAAGTAAAGATGGCCGGCGTAATGCTGACCACATTACCCACCTAGTGCCGATTGGTCTGTAAAAATATGGTGATCTTCCCATATGTCCGATGCGCCTAAGGCGTGAAAAGAGATCTTTACCTACTTTATAGTACTTTTTATTCTTTGTCTTTTTTTTTTAGCCTTCGTTTATTTTATTTCATTCACTCCACATCACATTTAAAAAAAAGTTGCTCACTCACCCCTTAGACATATGAATACTCTCATCTTTGTTACGTTGTAGTTCATTACTTGTTCAAGAAAGGCTACCGGCCGAAACGTTTTGTGGATTTGTTTTTTTGCTTCCCCGTTTCGTTAAGCTATTTGGTCACCTTTCACTGGAATTCCTTGATATTAGCTTGATCGCAGTCACCCCTATATTTTCATCACTTAGAGGAGAAGAAGCAGATTAACCCCCTTACAAATTTAACTAGACACCCCCCCCCCCCCCCCCCCCTTTTATTAAAATTTGTCAAAGGCGAGAAGGGGGTGGGGACTAAAAAGGTTTCAATGCCATGTTTGTAGACTTGTTCATGACTGGTTTAGCCAGTCTAGTACCAACCCTCCATAGCCGCTTCTTAAGACATGAATGGTAGGACTAGTGCTACTAATCTTTGATTCCAATATAAACCCTAGTAATAAATGGACGATCATTAGCTTCAAATGTGGATATACAAAAAAAAAATGGAAAGAGGTTTTCTGGGGATATGGAGAAGAGGAAAATGTTGCCAGTGTAATTAAGATGTGATAAATGACTGACACATACCAGCAAAAGAGGCAGGACATCTCACTTTTGACAGAGAGAAAGTTTTAAAGACTTATCATGGTAAAGTTTTGCATAGGCCCAGCCAATGGATCACGATGTAAAATTGAACTGCGAGAGAGAAGCAAAACTAACCAATATCTAATGTGACTGTAAAATGAAACAGCCATTACATCTACCGTTATTGGTTCTGGAGTGAACCTGTGATGTTTTTTACTTACAGCAGTGGTCAGGTTGAAGTAAATTTGAGAGTACTTGTTTCCTGTGATGCTGTCTGAAAGTGACATCATTGAAAAGCTGACTACAAATCCTCATATTTTTTAAATAAACAAAATTATAAAAAAAAATACTATTAATGCTAATTTTTTTAAATAAACAAAAATGATTTTAAAGATGACTAAAAATTATCCTATTTTTTAAACAAATATTATTACTTATAGAATCCACCAGACAAACTTAAACACAATGTAAATAACTAGCCTTAATATGTCAAGATAGAATACTGGACTTCCGGTCACTATTGTGGACAGGCAGGCTTACTATTTTTAGCTGTGGCAAGTTTTTGCTTCTGATGACAGAAGTTACATTTTTCTCCAGAGGTAGACCAAAATACTATAATTCCGTTGCCCAGCTAACTAAGCTGAGTGCATAGCTCCTCATAATCTTCTGCCAGATAGTATTTTATTTTTTACTCAATCTTGGATGGTTGAACAGTTTGGCTTTCCTTAGAGGTTTCTCACCCAATCTTTGATGATTGAACTGATGCCTTTCTTTAGACATCTCATCTCACTGGTGCTGAATTTATGTGAGTCTTGGTATGGTTTCTATCTGGCATAGAGGTATTAATAATATGATTCCTATAATATGTTGCTCTGAGGAGCAGTTATGTTTGAAGGTCTTAATAATGATGTCAACTTATATATAAGCGCATTTGCATTTTAAGTGCATGCATATTTTGGCACAGTCATGACCTATTTTGGAGTTTATTAGTTACGACATAACAAGACTATTCAGATGGCACAGAACCCATAAACAGCACACTAAACACAATATGCAAATGAAGCCAGACAGCTTCAACTTGGTGGTCATTCGGGTCAGATACACAGCGGAATATGTTCGTGACTTGTTTCGGTCCCAATAGATATAATATAGCAGATGTAATCCAGCTGTTACTTAGCATTAATAATTAGATATAGTCAAGATGTTTTACTGATTGTGATGTATGGGTAGTGAGTGCTATAGTAAAGTGAACAGAGACACAGCACTCTTTTGTAAATACTTGAGATTTCATTATGTGGGATATGAAAGCATCTGAGAAGCAGTTTGTTTTCATCTAATGGTGAATTGCAGTGTTAACTTACTTTGAGTGTTTCAACAATGAACTAAATCAAAGCACTCAACACAACTGGTTATCATCAAGCTCAGGGAGTTGGAAGAGAGTATGAGGAAGTTTAAGAACATGTGTTAGGAGGCAAGGCAAATGACCTTTAGACCTATTTCTATTTTCCTGCTGATACTGCTACCATGCTGGATCAGTCTTCCTAGATATTTAAATCCTTCAACTGGCTTTTGGTTATTCAGCTCTATATGTACTGGACCAGGAGCTCCCCATGTGGTTTTGGGGAGAAACAAAAATAAAAAATAATATCCCCCCCACATGCAATTAATTAGGTTTTTCCCCAACATCAGATGTGTTCGGTGAAAGGTGCAGATATCACAGCCTAGCTGTAAACCATAAATGAATGAGCCACAAGCATAAACAGATAGTTCTGCTAGCTTTCATTGTTCCTCTTGTGGATGCCAGTGATACACAGGCATGTCTGTATACATTCTTACTCTCAAACACTCACCAATACTCTCTCCATCATCCCAGAACAGCTCCCCATTGGCACTGCCATCTGCAGCTACAGCAACCAGCAGCTGGAACTTCTCCTGGCGTCTGCAACAATGACAACAGAAAAATATTGACATCAGTTTTAACCCTTTCAGTCCCAAGAAGTTATTAATTTGACTTCTTCTATTTCAAGGGGGTTAAGCTTAAAAGCAATAAATACTTAGGTCTGAAGGGGTTCAACAAAGATACTGTAAGACAGAAGTAATTGAACTAATATTTCAGATACAAAGGGTTAGTATGACAACTGTATGTAAAAACGACTCTTTATTATCTTTTGAATGCCAAATGAAAGTAGGGTACTGAAAGAGTTACAAAGATATCAACACATGTGGAGAGAGCGAGCCAGCAGGGATGAGCTGAGGGTCTAGATAACACTAAACATGTAGGAGAACAGACAGGCACCCATTTAATCAGGCTGCCACTGACACCATCAGTGTGAGTTCACTGGCTACTGATGAAGGTGATGGAGAACAAGTGAGAATATCTCAAGTGTAATGATGATGATTCTGGAACCAAAGTTGCACAGCACCTTACAACAAGATGGAAGGTGTGAGAATGTCCCAAGTGCAATAATGATGATTCTGGAACCAAAGTTGCACAACACCTTACAACAAGATGGAAGGTGTGAGAATGTCCCAAGTGCAATGATAATGATTCTGGAACAAAAGTTGCACAGCACCTTACAACATGATGGAAGGTGTGAGAATGTCCCAAATGCAATGATGATGATTCTGGAACCAAAGTTGCACAGCACCTTACAACATGATGGAAGGTGTGAGAATTTCCCAAGTGCAATAATGATGATTCTGGAACCAAAGTTGCATAATAACTTACAACATGATGGAAGGTGTGGGAAGTTTTCAAGTGCAATGATGATGAATCTCAAACCAAAGTTGCACAGCAACTTACAGCATGATGGAGGGTGTGAGACTGTCCCAAGTGCAATAATGATGATTCTGAAACCAAAGTTAAACAACAACCTACAACATGATGGAAGGTGTGGGAATGTCCCAAGTGCAATGATGATGATTCTCAAACCAATGTTTTTGTTGTTAATAATGTTGTTGTTGTTGTTGTTGTTGAAGGTAACAAATAAAGGGTTCGAGACAGTTTAATAAAATTAGTACTAGAGAATTAATGCCCCAAAAATCTGACATTTTCCCAAATACGGCACTCTTTAGGTCCAAAGTTTGCAGGATTTTTTAATGTCAACCTGTATTATCTATTTAATCCTATTTGGGACAGAAAATATAAGGCAAGCACCATTTTACCCAATGTGCCACAGTGACAGGGCTACAGGGTGCATTATAAAAATTGTTATGACATATTAGAAAATGTTATGACATTATGCAATATTTAAAAAAAAACCAAAAACATAAAAAGATGATCATTTAAAACACTAAGTTTAAATACTTCTTTGTGTGATTACTTACGAGAGGTCAGTCCGCTGGGTGACAGGCAGGAGTGGTAAGATGGATCCCCCGCGAACATGGACATTGATATGATCAATGGAAGCATTTAACTGTACTGTCTGACCTCGTTGTGATACTAGAGCTCCAGTGTTGAAATCATAGTACACATCATCTGGAATAAAAGCTTGGACGGTCGTGGCTCCCTGACAAAAAAAAAAAAAAAAAAAAAAACAACAAGTAAAAGTATCAATCTTTTCCACAACCTGTGAAATAAGAAGAGGCATACAGAATAAAAGTTTATGACGCTAACTTTTTCTGTACCAAGCAGGTGTATATTTAACTTACTATGCTCTAAGATGTTGCCAGGCTATGTGAGTGTTTGAGACAATGAGCATGCAGATTAATTTGCAGACACCAAGACTGCTATATCTGGCCCAGGACTGGACATAAGCAATGTTATCAATACCATGTCCCTGTATAGGTTGAAGGACATGAGGATGCAACCTAGAGCTGCCAAAAATGAACATTTTACCAACACAGAACAGGCATCATCAATCATTTTACAACTGTGGAGCTTTTGAGGAGGAGATCAGAGGACCTATGTATCTATCTGGAGTGCTGTGATGATAGTTCTCACTAATCACGAATCACTACGATTTGTTGAGTAGTCAATATCTGGATCTGAGAGGCTAAAATAATAGCACTGTGTGACTGGAAAAGTTCAAGTAAGAATCGAGGCCTGGGCTACAGGTGCGTGTGACAATGGGAAAGGTCACAGGGAGTTCAGAAAAGCAGACAGCTGAAACCAGGAAATGGTTGGTAAGTTGTTTTTGGTACTGAATGAGTCAATACAACAGCTGAGCAGAGTTGAAACACAGCAGCTAAGCAGAGTTAAAGGACAGCAGCTGAGCAGAGTTAAAACACAGTAGTTCAGCAGAGTTAAATCACAGCAGCTGAGCAAAGTTAACACTTTTAGTTCCAAACAAAGCACAGTGTATAACAGGATCCTCCTTACATTTCAAATCTAGCTTAGGCATGCTAAAGAAATCTGGCTACTCAAGTGGCCATATCTACTGTGTTCATTCTTCTTCATCTCTGTTCACTGGCTTTGAGCTCCGGTGGAAAGTCCCAGCTGATTGTTCATTTGGACTTTGGCTCTGTACCAGGGCCTGAGTTTTGCGTGTACATCTGTTTTACTGACATATTTGTGTGCAGTTGATTGTTTCTTGCCACTCAGGCAGATGTACTCTTGACTTCGAAGGAAGTCCCTAATTAATTGACTCCTATGACATGCTTGTTGGGTGAGGCAGTGGGTCTATTCTAGTTTTCCTTACAATGTGGCCCCAGCTTTTCTTTAATTTTCATAATCCCCCCCCCCCCCCCCCCCCCCCCCCCCCAATCACCCAATATTCTAATATTGAAAAAGTTGAGTATGCTTTCCTTTCAGTATCTAACAAAAAACAGATGCCAGGTAATGTTAACTGTACAAATACCTGGTCGAAGACAGGGGAAACAAGTAGCTGGTCACTCCACATAAACTGTTTATCAATGGTTTCAGTTCCAGGGTATCTGTTGGAAAATACATCCTGGATTTAACTCATGAAGATCTGTTTTTTTCAACAGAAAAAGAGTGAACTAGTAGTTCTTCTTCTTCTTCTGCGTTCGACATCAGTCATGCTACACATTGAGTCCCGTCTGGGTCAAAAATAGGATTGTGCGTTTAAGGTCGCCACCGGTCCCCCATAGCTTCTCTCGCAATGTGGATCCCCTAGGCCAGATCCAGTCTTTGCTGGGAGAGGTAAGGGCAGTACTGCTCAGGGGTCTGTCTTTCTGCTCCACAAGAACTAGTAGTAGTTTTTCCATTATATAATATCTTTGGAGTTATAATTAGGATATAGTCTCCATTGTATTTGCAGCGTACACGTTTGCTTTATATATATATATATATATATATATATATATATATATATAGATGAGCTATTAAACGCAGTGTATCCAATTTCATAACTACAGAAAACATATTTATATTTTCTGGGGAATATCTGCCCGTTCATGCAGTCTTTTTTAATAATATACTGTCTTGCATTTCAAGTGGTTTATTTAAACTTGGCTGTGAACTGCTGAAAAGTTTCTTGTCATAATTTACCTTGTTAGGCAGAAAAGTTTTTTTTTTTCAAATCTCTCTCTCTCTCCTCTCTCTTTCTCTCTCTCTCTCTCTCTCTCTCTCTCTCTCTCTCTCTCTCTCTCTCTCTCTCTCTCTCTCTCTCTCTCTCTCTCTCTCTCTCTCTCTCTCTCTCTCTCTCTCAATTTCCCCACAAATGTGAGTTAATTCATAATTCTGACAGCTAGTTAATGACCTTCCAACATATACATATTTTCTGAGTTTCTCCTTCAGATATGCTGCACTGTATAGCAAACCAGGTAGTACTTAGCATAACCATTATGGGTGTCACAGTTGTAATGTATTTAGAGGTCGAATGGAGTTGCCATTTTTGCCATCTAGGGTGAGATTCTTCCGTCTCAGGTATGGTCAAACCTTCAGGGAGCACCCCAATGGTGAAGAAATAGACATCACATATTCTTTCTGAGTACCAATGAGTACTTTTACATTATAAACGTACTCTGCCTGACCTTCTAAAATTACAACAAAAAACATTGTTATGTCTTTCCCCCTATTGTCTGGACATCTTTAACAGTGTTAACCATTCAGTCCTGAGATTCCATTAATCCAGCATCACTGTCCATTATAAATCCTCAGGTAGCCACAAAACCAGCATTGCTGTAATGGCCGGTCACCCACAAGACTAGGTAACAGCACTGGTTCTGTTTGCCCTTTGCAGTGTTTAAGAAGACCAAATTATGATATCCACCCCCCTCCCTTTCCTTTTTTCAAGCTTTTATGCCATTATTTGCTTTTAGTATTAGCAGCTGCATAGCAATGGGGTCATGAGTGACAGCACCCATTTGTTTCTTTATTAGTTCTCTGATCTGTTCAGGTTTACTGACTCCTACACTTAATATATTTGTAACGTAAAAATGTCAATGCACTAAATATTTATTAGTGGCAGTTTAAACTTTTTTTTTTTTCACACATTTTTTTTTTGGGTAAAAGGATTTTTGAGGGGAATTTACGTGTTATGCCCCCCCCCCCACCCAAGGGTTTTCAGGGCAAAAGGCTTAAATTACAACTTCAGGACAGCATATAGGTAATCCAACGCCATATTTTGACTCACGTCTGCTACTGATATCAGTCCTAGATTTCTGGCAGATAAAACTAGCAGAATCAACCTTGACAATGGCAGATTTAAAATACAATAAAAAATGCCCACAAGGTCACTAATTCGTCACACCACATCACAGTAAGAGTCAAATATCTAACAAATTTGTTAAATGCTAAACATGTGACTCACAGATAAAACAGAGGCCTGACAATGGGCAAGCCTTGAGTGTGTGCCCGGTAAAAAGCAGTGTAGAGCACAGCCAGAAGTCTGTATCTCAACTCTATGGCAGTCTTTATGTAATCTCTGAATGGAGGCTGGAAGGATCCTGGGTCCTGGGCCTAGGGAATGAAAAATATGATTTAGCAACCATTTCACTGATAACAGAAATATGATTAGCAACCCTTTAACTGATAACAAAAATATGATTTAGCAACCCTTTCACTGATAACAGAAATATGATATAGCAACTCTTTCACTGATAATAGAAATATGATATAGCAACTCTTTCACTGATAACAGAAATATGAATTAGCAGCTCTTTCACTGATAACAGAAATATGAATTAGCAGCTCTTTCACTGATAACAGAAACATGATATAGCAACTCTTTCACTGATAACAGAAATATGAATTAGCAGCTCTTTCACTGATAACAGAAACATGATATAGCAACTCTTTCACTGATAACAGAAATATGAATTAGCAGCTCTCTCACTGATAATAGAAATATGATATAGCAACTCTTTCACTGATAACAGAAATATGAATTAGCAGCTCTTTCACTGATAACAGAAATATGAATTAGCAGCTCTTTCACTGATAACAGAAATATGAATTAGCAGCTCTTTCACTGATAACAGAAATATGAATTAGCAGCTCTTTCACTGATAACAGAAACATTTACAGGCATCAAACATGTACTCATCAACACCATGAACATAGTCCCATAACACCAGGGGTCATTGGGTCACCAGTTGCTGCAGAGTGTCTAATAATCTTCCTCGGTTCGAGGCAATGGACCTGATGCATGTTCTGTCAGCATGTTTGAGGCCTATCCAGTCAGTGATATCAAACATGTAATACATACCATAATGACTGATGTGATGTTAAGAACAATCACTTCATCTTCTTCAACCTTCTGAGTCCTTGAGGTTAAAACATGTTGAATTAAGAATTGACAACACAAAACTCGGGACACTCCCATAAGCGCTCCGTCCTTGAGGTTCAATGCTGCAGATATCACCTGCCTCCATTCATCTCTGTGATCAGCCTTCTCTATCCAATTAGTGACTTGCAGTGTTTGTAGGTTTACCTGAATATTATCTCTCCACCATCTTCCTGGCCTGCCTCTTGATCTACTACTTTTTTTTACAGTTTTTGTCTCTCTGTTATCTGCCATTCTCCCTATATTCCCCAACCATTCCAGTCTATTAGCCCTCATGATGTGTCAATAATTAATAGTGATTTAAATATATTATGAATGTGACAGTACCTTCATAATCAGTGCATACTGTTGTTACTAGTGTTATAAGCAGTAAGAAATAATACTTTTTAAAAACTTATCTTGCTTTTCGTTTTTTGGCTAAAAAATCCAACCAATGATGATCTAAAGAAAAATAAAGACAAATAACTCAGTCAGCCAAGATAAGAGGTGGCATATTCCCAAGAAGACAGTGATGTGTATAAAGCTGTCAGATGCCTGGATGAATGAGAATTAGAGTCAGATATGAAAAATACTGGGACGTCATGTTAGTAAAAATACTGCATCTAGTGTCAATCTCTCATCTAACATATGTGTTATCAGGGTCCATAAGTACCAACAAAAAACTATGCATGTCCCAGCAGGAAGTTAAGGAGGGTTGGTGTAAGACAACCTGTCTCAGCCTGTAGAAAACTCTAGCTGCAAAATTCAACAAATGATTAAGAAGTCTACAGAGATCTTGGTATAAGCTAGTTGAGACCCACTTATTCCACTGGAAGTAAGAGAGAAAACAGAAAGGATGAATCTCTTACGGGTGAGCCAATGTCCGCATGGTTCCTCATAAATGGATAAAATGCAGCAAGTTGGTGCCAACGGGTGCAGAGCTCTGGGGTTGTGGTTCCTCCAAAGCCACAGATGTCTGCTCCAATTTGAGGAATTCCAAACAGGTTGAAGTTCAGAATACCTGTAAAAGAGACGAAAGTCAATTTCTTTTTCTTAAAGTTCATGCTATACAGCATTGTCAGTAGTAGTACTTAAAATCACACTTTTTATATGTCAATGGTGTAATCTTTCTTGTATAACAGATGGTGGCTGTTGCATTTTCCTCCATATGTAGACTGGAAGGATGTAGTTTTGTCATCCAGCTACATGGCAAGCTGAAAAAATTATTCGGAATGTTTTTTTATTGTGATCAATGGTGTGACACCATACCATACAAAGCATACATGAAAAGAGAAGAAGGACGTAGAGCACGAGGTACACCAAGAACAAGATGGAAGGATAACATCAGAGAAACTCTACAACAGCACGATGTGCCTATGGTCGAGGCAGCCAGAAGAGCTAGAAACAGAACCTTATATCTCCCTCGACACCCATAGAGGTAAAAGAGGAAGTGAAGAAGAAGAAGAAGAATGGTGTTGAGTGTTGAGAACTGTAGATCGAAACTGGCGAGTGGCCTGTTGCCACAGGATTGGTGGTGCCTTATATGATTAAAACTAATCGCATGTGCAATTACTGATCTGTTTGTAACTGCTGCTTCTGTCGATGATGAATGGCATTTCTAATGTCAGACTGTTTTGTGTTAGCACCTCTGATGGTTGCCTTATGCGTGTGTATGCTGGTGGATATGCTGAGACTGTAGTTTATGTCAATTTTTTTCAGAATGGACAGTGATGACATTCTGTCTGTTTTTTGTTGGCACCGGAGTGGAGCAAATTTGAGGTGACCCATTTACTATGAAGGTGATACTAGATTATCAGGTTACAATATTCTTGCATAAGACAGTATCTCTGCCTCCATATTACTTTGTCACCACTCTGCTTCTGCTCACTATCAATTACTCACATCACGACTGATTCAATAGAACTCTTAACAACCCAGTTCTCACTTTAAATAACAAACATTTACTGTCAAGAGCAAAGCAGAAGCTCTGCAGCTAGCAAGCACTGTACCACTGATATGACAGGTTAACTGAACATATCAGCATTAATTTAAGCTGACAGGATACTGGAGAATAAGTCCCAAATAAAACCTCCAAAATTATATGAAACATCACAGTTAGTTGAAAGGTTAAATCGAGAGGGTCAACTTTACTGCACTGGAGTTTATCCCATATGGCTCAGTCTCTCTCTGTGGAACGGCTAGCTCCCTGAAGAGAGAATCCCACAAATCACAAACACCATAGCTCCAGTGTTGATCCTCATGGGTCTCCATAAAAAATGTATTAGTGAACCAAATCATGAAGCCGTTAAATGAACACAAGATCTTTAGAATGCAAGGCAAACAGCTTGAACTCTTTGCCACGGAGATCCACAACATAATTCAGTAAATGCTAGATAAAACATCTATGGATATATTACGATGTGATGATAATGATTCTGAAAACAAAGCTATCACCAAATAACCAATATAAACACCAAACTTCTGGATACATTTTGAGGAGTAGTTGCATAGTGGCTAGATGCTTACCTACCAAACCAAAAGTCTAGAGTTTAGATCCACACTTGATCTGCAGATTTTTGTCTTCTTCGAAATGACTGGCTACTAGGGTGACCAAGCCTGAAATTCGTATCAGATAATATCCTGGGAAGTAAAGGTGGCAGTGTGATGCTGACCACATCACCCACCGAGTGTCGATTAGTCTATATATAAAAAAAAAGGTCTGGTACTGCCTGTTCGATGCGACAAAAGAACTTTACTTCTCAATATATTTCCCCATTTGGTTTATAGACACTGACAAAGCAATTTCTTTATTTAGAAAAACAATATCTATAAAACACAAACCCGGTACAGAGTAAAACATCTCGCTGAAGCTGGAGTGGTTATCCCCCAACCAATGTCCTGTATTTTTTCCGCTGCCAGCGAATGATGACCTTGAGATGATTACTGACCTCTTGTTACCACCGTACAGAAGATTGAGTGTTCTATGGACCAGATTAAAAATCCTGATAATTCATGTAACAAAATTATTTTACATGCTGTAATTTTGTATCAGCAAAATATGTATATACTGTTGTACAATTTTATCAGGAACATTAGTTGTAAACTCATATCAGCACAATTATTAAAAAGTAATATAAATTCAATTTGGGGGAGAAACACTTGGAGTCACTCTGTAAAAAGAGAAGGTCAATCACAGAGATCAGTGGAGGTGAGTGACATCTGTAGCAATGTACCAACAAACAAACTTTATATCCAAAGGGTTACAAATTGGGCATGCAGGCCCATCCTACCTTCAGGCCTTAATGAACCTCAATGAACTTTAAGCACTCGGAATGCTGAAGAAGAGTTGGAAATAGAATATTCATTTCTATGATACAAATTGTCAGCACCTGTGGCTTAGGTATTACTAACACGATTCATAATTCCAAGGTGCTGTATTCGATCTCAGCTGTAGGCGATCTGGCTGCAGACAGCCTTGCGCTGGTTTTGACAGTGGTATCGAAAGCTGACCATTCAGCATGCAATAGCAAATTACTACTAGTAAAATCACAAACAGCCAAAAATAATACAAATTATTAAACAGCATTGTAAATTTATATCATAAAACATTATTCTTCTCAGCAAATATGGGGCTAGTGTGATTTACATGATTTGCCTCAAGGAATGGAAAAGGATCTTTTACTTCTGCTTATGTTTTGTGTCCAATTTGTGAAAATTTGGGAGCATGTTTAACTCTTTGAGTTCCAGAAAGGCGCTACTTTGAATTACAAGGTTATTACTTGAACTAATGTATGTTTTGGTCCCAAGGAGTTCAAATAAAACAGACAGAAAGTGTTAAAATAACACTGAGGGTTAAAGTTAAATGTTAGATCTGGATATGACGCAGACTTAAGAGATGAGTATAATATAGTTAGAAGCGAACAATTACATGGTAAGTTGCTTGCATCAAATGAATTAAATTAAACAACTGATTCATGACAATTCCTGCCCAGAGGATGTGATCGTCTATACCAATAGCTTCATGTTGAGAGGCAGAAAAGTACATGGGGCTCATAGCAAAAGTGAATGGATGAGCATCCTTAGTGCAACAAAACCTGGCATAAGATATTAGAACATCCAGTTTGAAAATGGTGGCTGACTGCAGCCTTCTGTTAGCTTGAAAACAGCTACACACATATGTTGTGATTGTAACTGACTCAATAAGCTTGTGCTGAGATAGGTGGAGACAGGCAGATTAGCAAGTCTTGCTTCAGAGGTCCAGGGCAGTTAGTATCCTTTGCACATTTTCTCCAGGTATGCCGGTGTGTTGGGAAATAAGCAAGCAGACAGACAGACTGGTTCTGCACCATTCTGTGGTAAAACTGATGCATTAAAAGCTAGATGTGGTCAAAGCCCTTCGAGTGCGAGTGAACAGTGAGAAGGCACCATTAAACCACTCCATACTCAGAGAAAAAGCAAGACGGACAAACAATCATTATGCAACTGGCACTATCAGAGTTGGAACGCTTCACTGGCCTCTAAAGATAGGGACAGAGCATTAATGGGAATGTCCCGAGTGCTTTCATGCAATGAAATATGACCCACCAACCTTCTAGTGACATTAGCCTGGGACCATCCATACATGTTATGTAAATTGTAATGGGTGGAGATGGCTTGCTTGGCTGAAGGGCAAAGTGTTTTTGACTGCAGCTTGCCTCCATCAATTGCTGTAAAGAAAATGAACACCATAACAAAAAACATATCCAGTATACAAGAGACGGAAATAAACACATAGGGATCGTTGATGCCATAGAAACAGTGTATATAATAAACAAATTGATATATATTGATTGGTACTCACAGAAAGAAGAAGAAGAAGAAGGGGAGAGAGAGAGAGAGAGAGAGAGAGAGAGAGAGAGAGAGAGAGAGAGAGAGAGAGAGAGAGAGAGAGAGGGATAGAGAGAGAGAGGGAGGGGGAGAGAGAGATAGAGAGAGAGAGAGAGAGAGAGAGAGAGAGAGAGAGAGAGAGAGAGAGAGAGAGAGAGAGAGAGAGAGAGAGAGAGAGAGAGAGAGAGAGAGAGAGAGAGAAAGAGAGAGTTCTTCTGTCTCTCTAGTTCTTTCTATGAGTCAATCAATATATGTCTAATTTTTTAAACTGCATATAACAGATACAGTAGTAATGCAATTGATCTTTGTTAACCGAGGTGAGAAAGTTCATAAGAGCCAATAGTAATGCATAGAAGTGAATCATAGATGGTAAGCAGAATGGTAAGAAATTTGTTTGAACTGTGAAATGTGATGGTAAAGAAAAATGATGGTAGTAACTGTATGAAAAATATCCCGTTCTGGCCCTCAGCGTTGTTATTGGGATATATAGAGTTTTCACTTTTCTGACACTGGATATTTATGTCTGTCAATTACTTCTGGTTAACCTTTTCATTGGCAAGTGCGAAACAAAACTGGGTCATAAAACCATGAAAATTCCTGGAATAAATCCCCAACCCTCTCACTCTAGGAACACTAAAAAAAAAACTAACCCATGACCCCACTGGAATTCCAGAAAAAAATTCTTAAACAAAAACAAGTTTACACAGGTCATTAATAAATTAGATAAAAATTTATTGATAGATATTTTATAATTTTTAAAAAATATTTACATATATATGAGGAGAGTAATTAATAAGCATGATGAGGATAAAGCATTAAATGGAATACATTCATACACACACCAACTTTTGGTGTATACACTTACCTGAGATGCTTGCAAGTGTCTATTAAAAATACTGAATAATGTCTGTGTAAAAATACTGAAAAATGAATGTGTAAAATAGTGAAAAATTTCTGTGTAAAAACTGGGAATAATGTCTGTAAAAAAAGTGAAGAATGTATGTCTAAAAAATACTGAGTGATGTCTGAGTAAAATAATGAATAATGTATGTGTAAAAATACAGAATAATTGTGTAAAAATAGTAAATAATGTCTGTGTAAAAAATACTGAATAATAAATCTCTATGTACAAATACTGAATAAAGCCCTGTGTACAAGCAGTGTCTTTGTAAAAAAAAAGTTGTGATTAATATCACAAAAATAAAACACGATGTAATACTGAAAAAACTCATAAATGAGTTCAGCCTCATTCAGATGACTGTGAGTTAGCAGCAAGAGTGGAACAATGACATGCAGCACTGTGGCTTAGAGGTTAGTGAAATCATTTCACAATGCAATGATTGACATTTACTTGTGGCCTTCAGACAATGATATGAGAGTCATACCATGGAAGAGATTGGGAGCTTAGTACCTACTGTTGCCAGAGTCAGCTGCGGAAAAACTGCAGCCAATCTTCATTGTTGAGTTTTTTTTTTTTTTTTTTAATTTAAATATTTAAAAGCAAAAGTGAAACAAAGACGAGCAAAACACTTACTTGGAGGAATAAATGGTGGATTGTTCAACTGGTTATTGGTGCAGCCAAATACTGAACCATCTACAAAGTTTGACGGCTCATTCATATCCTGACAAATATTTAAACAAAGCATATCAATAAACAATAGAGAAATGCAAAAAGAGGCAGCCTTAGAAGAAGATGGATTTAATGAGTCAGTGACAGCCCAAGACAACACTATATAATACCAAACAAGTGGTAGTGACCAGGCTCAGCTAATGATCCATTTGTTAAAAACTGCAGCGCCCAGTGACACAAAGCAGATAGCGGTGTAGCGGATGGACGTTCACCTGACGGAGCCGGACTTTTTACAAACATGACATTGGCTCTTAGGTTTACTCAACCTTAAGTGGGTACCAGACACAGTCCTGGGAAATAAAGGCAGCCAGCGTGATACCCACATCACTCATTGAGTGCCAATTGGTCTATAAAACATGGATCTAGCCCTCTATGCCTAATACATCTGAAGGTGTGGAAAACGACTATTTTTATATATATTTTTTAACTTTTTAAATATTGATAAAAGAAGAAAAGGAAAAATGCTGGTATCTCGGTGAATCCAAATGATAATTATGAGAAGAGATTGTGACAAATGCAGGGCTGGGAATTTACTGTGAATCTAGCATTATATGTCCGATCTGCCACTAGTGTGAAACAGGTCTTTAACCCACTGACTATTATGATCACACGTTTTGCGATCGGCCGACATTTATACCTGGCTACCACGACTGCACCCTCTAAGATCCTGATTTTGGGCACTCACCACCATGTTAAAATTGCAACTTTTACAATAAATATAGCTAAAAGGATTAGTCCATTCATTTCTCTGTGATTAATTAAGGGAAACAATTTGGTAGCGCTTAGAGTAAATTTTCCACAAAGAGTTTGGAGAATATTCTAGATGCAATGGGTCTTGACTGTTTTAAATTGGAAAGTGAAGGTGAAGATATTTCTGAATAGTTTCATGGCAGTAATTTTAATAATTTTTATGAGCTGCAATCAAAAACATTGTCAAAACAATTGTACAGCCACGTGATGATGTACAAAAAGATTATGCAACTAAATTTATTCTTGAAATTTATTTTTCCTTCAATTTAGTGCAAAAATATAAAATATAAGTTTATGTTAAATAGTCTGTGTAGTTATATCATTTTTAATACACACTAAAATATGCATTATATGAGAAAGTGCAAGGGTAGTCAGTAGATTAAGAGGAAAAACTAGTATCTCTGTCTTCTTGGTAATCACACAAGAGAAAGAAAAAACTAAAATGAAATGAGATTGAATTGAGACACAATATTGTATCAAAAACATGTCTGATATGATGTTCACAGCTTTTTAAAAATATTGTTGTTAATAATTATTTTTACTCTTTAATTTCATAATTTAAATCATAAATGCTGGTGTAATTATTACTTACAATCCACAATCCATCAAACTGTAACTGATCGTGAAATGTTTTGGCTTGCTTATATAAATAATCAACAGCTTTTGGATGAAAAAAATCTGGAAATGCGGCTTTTCCTGGCCAAACCTGCCAAAGGAAAAAAAAAACAGAGTGTACTCAGAACGATTATATAGTTTAAACATTTTAATTACAGAATTGCCATTTTCAGATAGTGGTAGAAGAGTCACACTGTGGAAAGGAATGGGGCCTTACCCCATACTATTCCCAAAGTCAGCAGCAGATACAAATATATACTTAAGCCAACCATCATTGTGGAAAGGGCACACAACAAATGTGTAGAATGCAAGCGCAACTTAAAGTTCTGATCTAGGTTATTTTCCCTCACTAGCACACATATGCTTTACAAAATACTTTGCATGAGTATTTATGGCTCATATAACATTTACCCAAAACAAGCCCTAAATGGAGGTGAACCATTTTGTTTTACAATCATAGACTAGGAAATCAACCAGTAAATTTTGTTTTAGCTCCAAAAACTTTCAAAAAAGGCTTTCAGCACTTGGTATCTCCACCTGGCTCAAATAGTGATTTTTCCAAAACAATGAACACTAACATGCACACATTCACCCCCCCCCCCCCCCCCCCCCACATACAGACAGACACACGCACGCACGAACACACATAGAATTGTATATGCAAGTCAGGATGCCTGCAAATAGTAAGCAGGAAAGTACTAGACAAGCTTCTGTGTGTGGGTTACGGCGCTCCACTGTGGGGGATAACAAGAATAGACACAATGCCTCCCTAACAAGCATGTTATAGGAGTTGACTAATTATGGGATTCCTTTAAAGTCAGAATGCATTTGTCGGGGAGGCAAGGAACCAACTGTCTACATACAATAAGGCAACATCTGTAAAACAGGTGCACAAGCAAAACGCAGGTGCTAAAACAAACCCAATTTCTAAAAATGGATGAACAACCAGGACTTTCGGCCGAGGTTTCCTGCTGGTGAACGCAAACAAACAAACAAACTAGAACCAGCTAAAGTTAAAGGACATTTGTTCCGCTAATTTACAAATATTTACTTATCAGGTGCCAGCCAACTCCACTATACATTTTTGAGGTGGTAGATTACATTTCAGTCAAAGCTTGATTCTTGAAGAGCTAAGAAAACTATATTGTTATTTGCGCTCTGACCATCTCATCATTTAATTAAATTTGAATCTTCTAAAGCAGTCAATTGGTTTGCTGATGACTTGATGATGACTGAGCAGCCATAGTGCTTTCAGAAAAGATGTAGGAGTTTGGTAAAGAAAATAAAGTATTTTTAGTGTATGAAGCTTTTCTGAGTAGAAAAGTTTACTATGTATGTATTAAGTAAAGTAAGTAAAGGCCTTCTTCCACGCTTTCAGACGTAATGGGCACATATGGTCAGACGTATATATTTTATTGTCAATTGGCACTCAGTGGGTGATCTGGTCAACATCATGCCGTCTGCCTTTACTTCCAAGGACTTTACCTGGTACCCATTTAAGGCTGGGTTGACAGGAAAGCCAAGGTCCTTTTTTTCTTTAAGAAAAAAGTCAACGTATTAGTGAAACCCAAAATAAAAAGGTCATTCAAAGCAGTCAGTTTTTATGGTTAGAGAAAGAGACTTTCAGGCATGTCATGAAGAGAGCGAAGTTCTATAAAGGACATACTGATTGATGATGATGACCAGATATATAAATAGTGGTCAAATACGATATGTGTCAATTAGTACTCTAGCACACTGATAGATAAGAGTTAAGCACTCAATGCTTCGATTGGTACTGAAGTGGTTACTATAAATACTGTAACCTCTTTACCACTTGAAACATTCACGGAGCAATATTCACTGAATAATTGCCAGAAACAATCAAGAACACAACAGTCAAATCCAAATTTTAAAAATTTTAGAATACACAGATTTTTTACCTGACCAATTAGAATGTTGTTAGTGTCGTTCTTGACGAAGACATCTAGCTGAACACCATCATCATAAGGCGGGTAGGTTCCTGGTGGTTGTTCATTAGAAATGGCCGGGTCCTGAAATATTAAAGACAACAACTATGGCAATCATATTCTCATAAACAGTTAGTCAGCAATGTGTGCGTGTGGAATTTTTTCAAAAATTATTTTGGCTTCCAGGTCCACCCAGTCTAAAAGGAAGAGCAGGTAACGTCCTGGGAAGTAAAAGCGTCCGGCGGATGCTGACCACATCACCCACTGAGTGCTGACAGATAATTGAAAATTTAAGTCTAGCACAACACACCATGGGTATCGTCACGTACATTCGCTGATCACGTATGATGCATTGTTTGGGATTTTAAAAAACTCACATATAGTGATAAGAGTTGTAGAATACTTGACTACTGACATGATGATTGGGGTTCTATCCTTCCCAAGTCATCCAAAAATTAAAACAACTCAGATCTAACTGTACATCACATCATCATCATCATCAAGGACTTTGCCAACTGGCGTGGGTGATCATGCCTCTCTAAAATCTGTGATCTCCTGCAGCATGTATCAGTTTGGATGCTGACACACCTCCATGCCTTGCAACAAGACTGTCAAGAATTACATAACACTAGTTAAAAGATTCAGTGTCTAAATTAAATAACACTCTGGGGACCAAAAAAAACACAGACAATCCTTTGGATATTCTCTCCAGGTCTTGCCGGTGTGTTGGGAAATGAGCAGGCAGATAGACTGGCTGGCTCTGCAACACTTGGTGGTGAACTGATGTAGGACAAGCTAGATTTGAGGGCCCTCTGGGAGCGAGTGAACAGTGCGGAAGCACAAATAGATCATTACGGTCTAAGGAGAATGGCACTGCGAGGTGTTACCAGGGTATCTGGCTGATGCTCAACACTCAAGGTAAAGGAGATACGATTATACAATCAGATAGTTACTAGTACCATCGGAACTGGAACTCTTCGTTTGCTGCTGAAGATTGGACCAGAGCGCTTATGGAAGTGTCCAGAGTGCTGTGATGTCGATTCTTAATTCAACATAAACTACAGACAGAATTAGCAAAGACTGAAACACTTACCTAAGACATTAAAAAACAAAATAAAATTTGGAAAGGAAGTATGGCAATAAATTTAAATAAACTAGTCAGAGTTTCACAAAACATTAGAAAATAAAAGGGATAGACAGAAACTATTTAGAAGTATGCTTCATAAGAGAAAGCCAGTGAAAGGAACAAATGAAAAAACAAAACATACAGCCATGATGATGTAACGTTGATTGTTAGCATGAAGTTCCTCAACAATACTTGGCAGGTCACCAAATCTAGTGTGGTCATAGGTCCAATCTTTCTCGCCATTCATGTAGTCAATGTCATTCCACTGGACATCCTGCAATGTCAATACAAGCATTGATTAATCTCTAAGAATTGTGGCCAAAATGTGGGGACTGTTGGACATAATTTATTCAAAACTTATTAAAAATATATACTGTACCTTGCGTAGCAACAATGTCATTGTTAATTCTTTGTTTTAACTATACAGAACATGTGTGTATTTTTTAAGTGTATGTGTATGACATAACCTCTGTTTATAAGTTACACATTTATTACTTTTACAAACTAATAGTTAGTTAGCTGCATGGAGGTTTTTCTAGAAAAAAAAAAAAAGGTGCTGGCATTCACCATGAAGTGTCTATTACAGTAACATTGAAATAAATGATGCTATAAAAGTGTGGTGCCAGTACTGCAAACTGTTATGTACTTACTGCCAGGGAAAAGCCCTGGTTAGGTGGAACCTAACAGGATGTTGCAAATCAACTTCAGAATTTGTTGACTGTTTTTGGTTTCAACAAACAATTCTATGTTTAATAGTTTGTCACTCCTGTCTTCGACGCTTGTTAAAAATCTAAGCAAACAAAAAAATGGTCTGCAGCCAAATCACCAGCATTGAACTGAACCCAATATGCCGGGATTATGAAACTGTGTTCAAACACCTAAGCCTCACATGCTAACATTTATATGGAATTAACTACATTTGTAAGATATTTACTGAATATGTACAATATCAATTATGTTTCTTCTCCTTCTCCCCATTCACCGGCTGTAAACTCCAGCGGAAAGTTCTGGTTGTTTGTCCACTTTAGGTCTTTAGTCTTGTTCCAGTACTTGGGTTATTGTGTGTGTGCACAACCATTTTATAGATCTGGCTTACATGTATGCACACTGTTGGTTCCTTATCTCTCAGGCAGAGGCACTCTGATACAAAAGGATAACCCTTAATTAGTCGACTTTTTCTCCCACAATGAGGCCCTGGAACCAACAATGGGAAATCTAAGTTGCAATGCAGTGACTGTAGTTATGAAATTTTATCTATATATTTAAAGATGTCAGCTGTTTTCATGCTACTATTACACTGGTTTCACAACTGATAAGCCACTAGTTCACACTACACAAAAGTCAGCTAAATGCTAAGTTTCTGAAATGAGAAAACCGCTTTTGAACATTGAGATCTCTGAAGAACTGTGTGCTTGCATGAAAAGTAATACTTTATTTGACCTATCTGGAATAGGAATTCACATGCGTAGTCGGGCATATTCCAAAGTGACAAATAACAGTCCTGAAAATGTGATGAAAATGGTGAAAATTTCCAAAATTGCACTTAGCTGATGTTAGCAGAGTGCTAGCAAAATCTGTCGATACTCACGTATGGTATCTGTGCCTGCCTGTTTCTGTCTATCACGGCTTTTAAACCTGCAGAAGTATCATAGCCCCATTTACACAAGTGATACCCCAGCGACCAGAATGGGGGGAAATATGGCAGACCTATGACCTCTGCATATTCAGCTGCAACATAGATGGGGCTGGGTCCAGTGAAAATATAGAAATCCAAGATTCCACCAAGGAAGTGATAGGTGACGGCCCCTGCTTGATTCTGACCAAAAGGTTGCAATACAACTTCTGAAAAAGAAAAAAAAGGAGACAAAATAAACTATTAGATTTAATCTTTTTTTTTCAAGAGAAAAGAAGAAAAAATAAACAATTAAATTTGATCTACTCTTTGCATGTAAACTATCAGAGGTTGCTAATACTTTTAAATCCTTTCTATGAGGTGACCTATAGGTGGGGTGAGAAGTAAGTGTGTGTGTGTGTGTACATGAGTGTGTGCGTGCGTGCACGCGCGTGCGTGTGCGTGCGTACACGCGCGCGCGTGTGCGTGCGTACGTGCGTGCGTGTATGTGTGTGTGTGTGTGTGTGTGTGTGTGTGTGTGTTCACAGGCTGTGGAAAGTTCTGGTTGTTCAATCAACTTTTAGACATGTTCCAGAACTTAAGTGTTGCATGCACATCCAGTTGACAGATCTGACTTATTTGTATGCAGACTGCTGGTTCCTTGCCTTTCAGATGCTCTATGACTTTGAAGGAAGCTCCAGTTAGTCAACTCTTACGACATTCTTTTTTTTTTTGGGAGGCAGTGGGTCTATTTGTGTTTTCCCCACACAGGAGCTCTGGAGCCCACAGGGGGAGTAAGAATGTTTAAACTGAGAAGCATGGAGACACAAGGTCTAATGAAAGAGGCAGGTGATTAGTAGAGAGTAGGAAGAGGCAGATAAAGGAGACAATTTTGTAGAAATGGAGGGGGATAATTGGATGACAGAAAGTTTATCTCCCAACCCCTTCCCACCCCTTTGCATTAACCAATCAAATGACTTATCACACAGGACAACATCAGGCTGTTATGGCCGATACAGTTGTCCCAGTTATAACAGAGAGGTTAAACAGGCCATTTAGGATGTGCCCAGTTGGTTTGCCATCAGGATGAGATTATCTAATTCTCAGAAGAGAGCAACCCAGAGGGAAAACAGATGATGAAATCAACTTGACATCAGCCACCTCTAGTTTCCTTGCTAATGATACTTTTTCAGAAAGTTGAAAACACATCAGAGAACTTCCTCAGGTTATTTATTCCAAATACTAGTCTTTATTCCGCTGGGGAATAAAAAGCAGCAAGAAAGGAAATAGTCATCTATCTTGATAACATAGTATATTTAGAGTTTCAGTAGTTTAGAAATGACAGCAGTGTGCTTGACATAATGTGAACACTGAATAGACAGAACTGTCACAAAAACTGTATCACATCTTCTTCTTCTTTATTCTGAGCCACTGAGGTTCGCTGCTGCAGACACCCCCCACCCCCACCCTTCCACCCCTAAACCCCCATTCATCTCTCTGACTGGCCTTCTCTTTCCAGTTGGTGACTCCAGGTGTGTGTAGGAAACTGAAATACTTTAGCTACAATAAAATTCACAGTGGTTTAGGCATAATTCACAGATGAATTTTATGTTGTCTAGTGTGTTCTTCTATCTTTCTACTTCTTTCTATGAGTGCCGATCACAATACTTTCTGTTACTTCATTAATTCATAATATTTAATGGCCTCAAAAGGTTCCCCCCCTCTGTTTATTTATAGGAATGACGTATACACACTGGAACCTACCAATCAAATACCTTTCTTAAATGTTTGTGTATTCTAGACAAAGCAATAAGGTCTACTGTGTTCGTAAATTGTTGCTGTGATTATTATTCGACATTTGCTTCGTTAATATAAATTTCTGTAACCTATGGTGCAATTTCAATGGGTTGAAATGAATTCTGTCCGTATTCCATAGTTGTGCATTTCAAGCTGTACGATAGACATGGCCAATAAGACACCTTTTTTTGGGGGTGCCTAGTTGACCATGTATCTTAGTGCACTTGTATTCATGGCGAGGCGCAGACGCCGTCTGGAGGTGACAGGTTCAATTCCTGGCACGTTAACTATAGCTTTCGATTTTTATGTTGTCTAGTGTGTTCTTCTATCTTTCTACTTCTTTCTATGAGTGCCGATCACAATACTTTCTGTTACTTGATTAATTCACAGACGTAAAGGCATTGATCAAAAGATGCAAAGGTGACACAGAAGATTAAAGAAACCCACGGGATGGCAATGCATGAGGTCAGACAACTAGTAACAGTCTTTCCAGTGTACTTTTATACCATCTATATGTTAATGGATAAAAGTTTTTATAGACCTATTGACAACTGTGTGATGTTGACAATATCATGTAAGCCATTTTTACTTCCCATATTTCCCCACATTTATTTATTATTGTTCCCCAGGTCATCCAGAGTCTAGGTCATTAAAAAAAATCTTCTTCTTCTTCACTTCCTCTTTTACCGGTGTGGGTGTCGAGGGAGATATAAGGTTCTGTTTCTAGCTCTTCTGGCTGCCTTGACCATAGGCACATCGTGCTGTTGTAGAGTTTCTCTGATGTTATCCTTCCATATTGTTCTTGGTCTACCCCGTGCTCTACGTCCTTCTTCTCTTTCCATGTATGCTTTGTATGGTATGGTGTCACAAGGCATTCTCTCTAAGTGGGCAAACCATTTCACTTGCTGTCTTTGTATGTAATCCAGAATTGGTTCTGTGCCGACTTGTTCTCTTATGATCTCATTCCTGATCTTATCTCTTATGGTCACTCCTACAGCCCTTCTCAGACATCTCATTTCCGTGGTTACTAATTTTCTTTTATGCTTTGTTGTGAGTGACCATGTCTGGCACTGGTAGCACAGAGTTGGAATAAATATGCTTTGAATAAGCTGTCTCTTTGTGCTGATTAATTTGTCTAAAGAAAAATTTTCTGCTGGCTGTTTTCTCATTTTCTGCTAGTGACTCACCGAAATGTTCCCAGGATGCTTGTTTTGCTTTCTTGACACTCCTGTTGGTTTCTCTCCTTTGCAGTCTATAGTTTATATAATCTTCTTCTTTCTTTGATTTTATCCACTGTTTATATAAGTCTTTTTTCTTTTTAATTGCTTCTTTTACTTCTTCGCACCACCAAGGTGAATATTTGTTATTTCCCCGTCTGTTTCCACTCTTCTGTTTTCCACATAATTCTTCTGCAATACTAAGCATAGAAAAAAAAATCTGCCTTTAATAAATAAGTGAACTCACTAGGAAGCACCCTAGTGAAGGACCCTTTTTACGTCTGTGGCACACTAGGCATATGATGTTGGACTCACTATTTATAGATCAATCAGCTGGTCACCTTTACTTTCCAGGAATATACTTCATACATATGGTAAAACAAATATAACTCAATGTGGATTCAAACCCAAGACATTCAAGCCTGCAGGGAGCAGATTTATATGCCTTGGGCTTTTTGCTGCACTCACCTCCAGCATTGCTGTTGAGTAAGAAGACTCCATGAGCATAAGAGTTTGATGCTGGCCCTCCCGTCTCCAGGTTCAAGAAGAAAGGATGAGAACCATACCCATTGTTATCAATCTGTATCATGATAACAAAAGCCATTTTTTAATTTTAATTTTATATTTGTTTAATTACCAGACACCATGAGTTGGTAACCCTTTGGCTCGGTACTATAGATACTGTAACCCTTTGGCATTGATTCCATGATAGATACAGTAAATCTGGGAGAAAATGTGGCTTTTCTGCCAACCCCTGGGCGTGAACCCGGACCACAAGGAGTTCGTCAGTAACCTGGTCGCAGTGAAGTCATGTTTAATCTACCGGCAAACAAACGCCATAAACAGAGCATGATTCATCAGATTCCTGACAGGAAATAAGGTATTAACTATTATTTCCCACTATTATATTTCTGGAAGCCGTGCTAGCGTAGTGACTAGATGTTCACCTGCAGATTTCTAGGTTGTGGATTCAGGTCCTGGCAGAGCCAAATTATTTTCACAAACGATGTTGGCTCCCAGGTCGACCCAGCCTTAAATAGTTACATGTAAAGTCCCGGGAAGTAAAGGCAGCCACATCACCCACTGAATACCTATTGGTCTATATAATATAGATCTAGCCCTATATGCTCAATACGCCTGGAAAAGGGTTCTTTGTTACTTTTACTATTATATTTCCGCAGCTGAAACTTTCTACAATTTGAAATCATTTTCTCTAACCTCTGTTATCATGTCTAAATCCTGCTGATCTCCCTCCCTTCTGCTAGTCTGTGGTTTTTTAAAATTATTGTATAAGCTTCATCTCTGCCCCAGTTCAATGCATGTGTGGACAGAGAAAACAGTACTCAAAATGTTTTTCTGATTGTCCTCTATACAGGGTGCTGAGAAAGATATCAGGCCCATGGTATCGATACCAAGCTGTATCCAACTAAAGAAGAACTCCTGCAAACAGAACGTTCATTAGAAGAACTCGCCTGATAGTGTAATCATCCAAGAAGTAAGTGCACGATGAAGAAGTTTACTTGTGTCAGATTATATGTGGGGTTACCATGATCAAGTGGTCATTTGCCTTCTGCTCTGAAGGTCATGGGTTTGTTTCATGGACTGCATCATTTGGTTCATTAATGCAGCTTTTAGAGTTACTGGTGCCATTGGAATTCGAACTCTTCGTTTGCTGCTGAAGATGAGGACGGAGCGCTTATAGGAGTGTCCCAAGTTCCATGATGTAGATTCCTAATTCAACATTCAACATTGCAGTTTATAGACCTTGGAGGATTGTCACATTGAAACATGGAGTCCCTGCTTGTGTACCATTCTTGGCATGTGGTGGTTTGCCATTCTGCAGAAACCAAGCTATCTGGGATAAAGCCCAGTGCAATCAAGCTGATCCTCTCGACTTTAAAGCTTTTTTTTTTAGATCATAAGTTCACATTTCTACCATAAAAATTCAAGCCACTTTAATCTTTTTAGATCATATGTTTCTTCCATCAAATTTAATGTCACTTTAATCTTTTAAGATCATATGTTTCTTCCATAAAATTTCAAGCCACTTTAATCTTTTAAGATCATATGTTTCTTCTATAAAATTTCAAGCCACTTTAACCTTTTAAGATCATATGTTTCTTGCATAAAATTTATTGCCACTTCAAATATTTTTAAGAACATATGCTCAAATGTTCTACCAAAAATGTCATGCCAATTACTTTACAGACACTGATGATGGATTAAAAATGTGTCTTCTTCCTGTCCGCATTCACTGGCTGTAAATTCTGGGCAGAAATTTGTGGCTGATAGTCCAGTTTTAGACTTAAGATTTGTTCCTGCTGCACATCCGTTTTACAGATCTGGCTTATTTATATGCAGACTTTTGGTTCCTTAAGTTTAAGGCAAATACACTCTGACTTGAAAGGAAACATCTAATTAGTTGACTCTTAGGACATGCTTGTTGTTAGGAAAACAGTGGATCTATTCTCCCCCGTCTTCCCAACAATGTGGCCCTGGAACCTAAAAGGGACTTTAATGAAACTAGATCAACACAAATGTTAGAAAATATTGTGTTGGGATGTTTGAAATCACCTGTGGTGGATTATCTCTGGTCCAGAACACAAGTCTCCTCCACTTGGACACATCCTGGAGGAAGTTGTTCCGATGCTCTCCAAAGCCATACAGGTATTTTGTGGACAACTGTGTGCCAATCTGCAGGAACTGGTCACTGAAGATCAGTGGAGCCGTGTTTCTAGTGTCAAATCTAAAAAAAAAAAGAACAAGTTATTCACCACGATAGTTCCTAGAGGCATGCTAGCAATTAAACACTCTAAAGGGAGATACTTAAAGTGAAAGCCAGCAGAGCAAACATGAGATTGCATATCTATACTAAAGACAGAAATCAATGGCAAGATAATTTCCCATCTGGGTTCTGCGGTCTCATTTTTTTTTCTTGGGGGGCACTGCCCCCTTCTAGGTATGTCATAGGAGGTGAATATTTCAGGTTTTCTCGAACCTGAATATGCTGGACCGAAATGCATAGATACTGCAGTCTAGTTGTAAACCATAACACAACCGTCCTTTAAAAGATAAGCTCAGAATAAGTCAAGGCAATGTGTTATATTTTCTCAGGAATATGTTTACAGAGAATGGTAAAAAGAAAGTGAAGCAGAAGCAATCAATGGAATTCAAAAAGCAAATGCAGCATTACGAATGCAATTTAAATTCTTTTTTTTACAAATCTGTTTATTAAACATTTATGAAGCAGTGGTATCTTGTTGAGAGGAATGTCTTACTCTAAAAGAAACAAACCGCTTTTGGGGCTGAAACACTCTCACTGCTAGTACACTGAACTGAAGAGTTAAAACTCAGCTTCCTCAGGATTCACAACTAACCAAGCAATCAACCCACCAACTTATCAACCAACCAAGCCAGCAATCAACCCACCAACTTATCCATCAACCAAATCACCAACTTATCCACCAACCAGACATTCAACCCACCAACTTATCAGGCAAAAAAATTTAAATAGTCAACACAACATTTCTGAAAACAGAGTTTGGTGCAAGACACGGTTTGAAAGCAGATGACAGATCCCTCTTGGTGATAGTCACAAGATCCCTGAAGATGGGCACCCAACCAGTATGGTAACTGCCAAGAAGGAAAGCAATTGAAAAGCAATTTTTCAAAGATGTAAAGATTAATTTGATTCAAAGGAATAGACTACTTATACTTGATGACAAATTGGTAAAACAGCAAGGTGAAGACACATAGACAAAAATACCTGGATGGCTCTTATACTTGGGGGTAAATACAAGACTAGTAGTTAACCAGATAACAACAGGTACCATCAATATGGAGACTATTCGCTGGCTGTTGAGTAGCGAGACAGACCTAATATGGACATCATGAATGCTGTGATGTTGAATCTTTACTCAGATGACCCAGGTGGATGGCATTGGTGGGGAAAGAACAATGACCTGATCCATGACTCTGGCAATCATGTGAGATGGTGAATCATTTACTGGCATTGCACATGCTGATGAAAAGGTGGTCACCTCAAAAGTGATAAAATGATTGACTGATCCAAATGTCTTTCTTGTCCAACTGACAGCTGCTTTTTTAACTGTTATGTCTAGTCACATCATGCTTAAGAAATTTGTTTTTCTTCAGTGGACCCTTCTGTTACCTTTTTAAATTAAACTGTTTTTTTTATTTATGCTTTTTGATAATGGTTAAATAAGGGCCAATAAACTGCAACTGTTTAGATGTACAAAGACATTGGCAGATGACAAAAAGACAAAAACTGCAAACACACAAAAGTTAAATGGAAGCAGACTGCTTGTTAGACCAAGAAGATGATGGAGAAATATATTCAGGCAGACCTACAAACACTTAGAGTCACTAACTGGAAAGAGAGGGCCAGTTATTGGAGGTGGGTGTAATCTGCAGCAACGAACCTCAAGGGCTTGCAATGCTGAAGAAGAAGAAGAAGAAGAAGAAGAAGAAGATCATGGTTATATGCTTCTTTGGCTCTCTGTGAAACCTTCAGGCCCTGAAAGAGTGAATTAAAAGTTAGGTGCTTTCCCAATATCTCTCCCCAGGATGACGTCACAGGACAGTCCAATATTTTCGAGGGCCTAACCCCAACCTATCTACGTCCCGCAAGAGAGGACATCCTAGGTCCCACAACTGCATGCAGCCTAGATCCCACGACTGCATGCAGCCTATCTACCATCCCCTAAAATATTCTGTCTGTCTGGGGGAAGATATCATTAGAAAAATTAGTATCATGTGTGCAAACAGCAGTTCACTCAAGTGACTGTATGCAAGAAGAATCACTCACATGGTAGCTCCTGTGCTGGTTCTGGTGACTACAATGTTGAATGGGTTCTCTTCAACTGTTACTGTATACAGGGTGGTCCCAGGGACATGACTTCCAGATGGCGTATCCAGGGGCACTTCATATCTTGTGCTGTTAGGGTCATAAATCTGGGGCAGACATTTTTCATTTATCAACATATGTCCACTTCAATACATAGTCTTGAATATTCATATTCATCATTATCTTCTTCTTCTTCTTCTTTGTGTTCACCAGCCATAAACTCCGGGGGAAAGTTCGGGTTTGTTGTCTGGACTTTAGTCTTACTCCAGAACTTGAGTTTGTCATGCACATCCATTTGACAGATCTGGCTTAATTATATGCAAACTGTTGGTTCCTCTCCTTTCAATCAGATGCACTCCAACTTCGAAGTGAACATCCATTATTAGTTGCCTCCTGGGGAGGAGGGGGGGGGGGGGGGGGGAAGGGCAGTGGGTCTATTATCTTGTCCTTCAAAATGGGGCTCAGGAACCCACACAGGAAATATATATTCATGATAGTCATTTTTTTTTCTGGTGATAGGCAGTACCAAAATCTATTTTTTCTTCTCTTTTTTGGAGGTAACTTTTTTTAGGCATCATTTTGTTGCTGTAACATACACTTTAAAATGAGCACTAGCACTTTCTTTTGGACATGTTTTGGTGAATTAGTTAGTAAGTCAGTCTTTCCTATTGTGTCGAGTGCGGCACATAGGGCAGAGGTCATGACTCTCCATGCATGGCGGTTTGTTGCAATCTATTGTAGGTCTTGGATGTTTGAGTGGCCCATGAGCGAGCCTTCCCTGATGATACTGGTGAATACTGGCACTTTTTCTTCTAGGGCAGTTGTTCTCAACCCTTCTATTGCCGTGACCCTTTAATACAGTTCCTCAAGTTGTGGTGACCCCCCAACCATAAAATTATTTTCGTTACTACTTCAGTGACTATGTGTTTTCCTATGGTCTTTGGCAACCCCTGTGAAAGGGTCATTCGACTATTAAAAGGGTTGCAACCCACACGTTAAGAATCACAGTTCTAAAGGGTAAAAAGCACTCATGATAGTCGCTCACAATACTAGTGTCTAGAATCACTGCTTACCTTAAGTTTTTTCCTATGTAAGACTAATTAATAATCTCTCTGGTCTAAATCTTTTATTGATGCCTCACATATCATTTGTTCTCCACTGAGTTCCAAAAGTCTATTTGGGGGGGGGGGGGGGGGGGGGGGGAACATGCATACTGCCTCCCCACCAAACATGTTGCACAAAGCGACTAATTAGGGGAGTTTCCTTCACAATTGAAGTGTATCTTCCTGAGAGGCGAGGAACCAACAGTCTGCATACAGATAAGCTAGATCTGTCATATGGAAATGTATGCAAAACTCAAGTTCTGGAACAGGACCAAAATCCAGAAATGGACAAACAACCAAAACTTTCTGCCGGAGTTTACAAATGGTGAACAGGAAGAAGAAGAATAAGAAGAAGAAGCAGCAGCCATATCATTTGCAGTGTCTTAACCTATTTGCCCATGTAATGCTAAAAAAACGTGGGTCATGATCTTGTTTGAATTCCACCAAAAAATCCTGAAATAAACAATAATTTTACACATGTCACTAATAAATTCATTCCTACACAAAAAAATTTTTTTCTCAAAAATATATAAATATATAAGAAAGAAGTAATCATTTAAACATGAACAGGTTGAAGCATTAAATGGAATACATTCCCTGGGTCTGGAAAAAAAAAAAATATATATATCGTGTGACTCATGCCAAGAGCCTGTGACCTCTATTATTTAGGCTACAGGAAAATCTTACATCAACTTGGCTTTATAAAAGCTACTTGGCTCAAGGGACACCTTTCCCCCCTCCCCCTTTTTTTAAAAAGATTGTGTTAAGTTAATGCAGTCATATCTTGACCCCTTGAACTGCACAGGTGCAAAAACAACCAATAGTTTTAACTGAGTTCCATAAAAAGGTCTCTATAGACCAGTTAGAAAACACTTACAGGGAATTGGTCTCATCTGGGGGAGTCAGTTTTGCAGCTTCTCTGGGTTAAAGGTTAATTATTAGTTTTGTGTGTGTAAGTGGGGAATTTAGTGCATGTGTAATCACATCATGGAGATCCCTTGTAATTAGTTCTGCAGTTGTGCTTTGTGGTAGTGGCTATCCATTCTGCAAAGACAGAAACTGACCGGTTAGTATCAGAGAGCCATTATTATCAACTAATCTAATTCATACAGCATCAATTATATCAGCTCTGTCCATGCTTTTTCCCATTTGTACTAGTGCCTAATTTGCCAGTTAGTCAGCTCAATTATTACCTTTTACACCAGCATAGCCAGGTGTATACATCCAGGTGAGGGTAGTGAACTGTGACTTCCAAATGCTGACTACCTATTCAGAATGGAGGCTACCTGTTGTGATTTGGTGAAGCGTGTTCATGGAGTCTGATATGACCACCACATGTGTGGCTGCCTGGTAGGTAGCATTTACTCTTTGGTTGTGATTTACTCCATATGGCTAACATCCTTTTTTCATTGGTGACACACAATGGTGCACACTTAAAGCATCTTCTGAGGCATCTTTTGTTTCAGTGCTACTGTAATTGACACTTTGTAGTGAGTGCTGGCACTTTTTAAACACTCTTCGGTGAGTACCAGCACCTTTTTTTTTTCTAGAAGAAAAAACCTGAACACGTCTCAGGCGGAAATATTAAGCCCTAACATTTTATTTATACTTTTATTATTATTATTATGTATTTGTAATGAAAGCCCTAACTGCTGGCTGACCTGAACAACAACACAATATTGCAACAAGTTCAGAAGTCCTAAACAACCATTACCTTAATGCGTAGCCTAGTTTCGGTCTGATATTCCACGAACAGTTGTAGCGTTTTCACATCGCGAGGGAAGGGAGAATTAGTGAGCCTCTGTAGAGTTGCTGTTATGCCTGTAGCTGTCTGCTTCACATTGGAAGCCGTATACCCACTGTAGTTTGTTGGATAGAAACAAAATGGTGCCGTATCTGGTTGTGGCACCTCCTTCCAACAACAGCCGCGACTCAGACACAGCGATTCTGTCGCTCCATTTTTCTCAGGAAAGCAGTCGAACCTATTGTTTTCATCCACACTGCACTGGTCTGCTCGAATGGGAGTCTTGCTTGCAACTTTGCCAGCTACATTGACATTCCAAACTTCCGCAACGAACTTGTAAGAATGAAGGCAAGCTAGAGCAAAGAGACACAAAACAAACAAATATCCCGCAGAGTTGACAATTCTTCTCAGATACTTTCCACATCTAGTTTCCTTTGTTAACTTTTCATCACTGATTCTAATTGTAGCAGTATTATTTATACGATTAAACTTGAGAGAAGCCGATTGATCAAGGAAGGAGCTGTAAGCCGCCATGTTCCTGTCTGCAGACTGCTGATTTACAAAGCTAGCAGACAACACAATGTGGCAGGTCCGGGTCACATGATGTCAGGGTTACTTTCAGTCAAGGTCCGGTTTATTTTCTCAGGACCAGATTTTGTTCTGCAAGAGACATCACATGTACTATAGGATTAAAAGTTTGGTTCATTAACGAGTCCAAAGTTACAAAAAGTATTATTGATGTGTAGCATTCGTTAGCAGATAAGGCACAATTTTTGGGGGTTAATATAGGCAGGCAGATAATGGGTTGATGGACGGACGGTCAAACATCGAGACAGACACAGGTAAGCAGACAAAAGGACAGGCAGATAGACAGATGGATAGAACTTTATTTTCAAATGGTAACAAATTGGGCACGCAGGCCCATCTTACATTCGGCCTTTCAAAACGCCCATTTTTCACACAGCTGTTGCATATTATCAATAAAGCATGTTACAATCATAAAATAATATGCATATTATGAATACCAAGAAAAAACACACACGAATAGGTGGTAAAATGCATAGGCACACTCGCAGGCGCGCGCGCGCACACACACTCACCCATTCGTTCACTCACTTACACATCCACATACATACATACATATACACATACACACATACACACAAACACACACACCCACATGCAAAAATACATACACACACCTACATACATAAACACCCACACACACATACACACATAAATACATACATACATACATACATACATACATACATACATACATACATACATACATACATACATACATACATACATACATACATACATACATACATACATACACACACACCAACATGCAAAAATACATACACACACCTACATACATACACACCTACACACACACATACATACATACACACACACCCACATGCAAAAAAATACATAAACACACACCTACACACATACACACCTACACACACATACATACATACAAACATACATACCCACATAGACAGACAGACAGCCAGACAGACAGACAGCCAGACAGACAGACAGCCAGACAGACAGACAGACAGACAGACAGACAGACAGATAGACAGACAGACAGACAGACAGATCGATAGATCGATAGACAGACAGGTCGATAGATCGATAGACAGACAGATAGATCGATAGACAGACGGATCGATCGATAGATAGATCGATAGATAGACAGATAGTTCGATAGATAGACAGATAGTTCGATAGATAGATAGATAGATAGATAGATAGATAGATAGATAGATAGATAGATAGATAGATAGATAGATAGATAGATAGATAGATAGATAGATAGATAGATAGATAGATAGATAGATAGATAGATAGATAGATAGATAGATAGATAGATAGATAGATAGATAGATAGATAGATTAGATAGATTAGATAGATTAGATAGATAGATTAGAAAGATAGATAGATTAGATAGATAGATAGATAGATAGATAGATAGATAGATAGATAGATAGATAGATAGATAGATAGATAGATAGATAGATAGATAGATAGATCGATAGATAGATCGAAAGACAGACAGATAGATCGATAGATAGATCGATAGATAGATCGATAGATAGATAGATAGATAGATAGATAGATAGATAGATAGATAGATAGATAGATAGATAGATAGATAGATAGATAGATAGATAAATAGATAGATAGATAGATAGATAGATTAGATAGATAGATTAGATAGATAGATTAGATAGATTAGATTAGATAGATTAGATAAGATAGATTAGATAAGATAGATTAGATTAGATAGATTAGATTAGATAGATTAGATTAGATAGATTAGGTTAGATAGATTAGGTTAGATAGATTAGATTAGATTAGATAGATAGATAGATTAGATAGATAGATTAGATAGATAGATTAGATAGATAGATTAGATAGATAGATTAGATAGATAGATTAGATAGATCAGACAGACAGACAGACAGACAGACAGACAGACACAGACAGAGACAGACAGACAGACAGACATAAAATGATTTAAAAAGTGCTTGGTAATGCAGATACACTATAGATAGCATGAGAGTCAGTGTAACCGGTGATGCCATCAAACCAACAGATATACCAGTTACAGAGAAACTGCAACACACACCAGTTTTTTTTCAGCACAAGTCACTATTTACTCATCTCTTGCTTCATCGATCAATTGAAAATTCTTCTCCTTAAAAGTCCATGCCGTGTAGCGTTGGTAGTCATGTCTAACCACAGCCTTCTGCCTCGTGTATTTTCAAACAGCTCTGAAACAGATGCTCCTTCATGCCGTGACTCAGACTGTCCAGCATCTTTTCTGTCGGTCTGCCTCTGCCTCTCCTTCCCTCCAACTTTCCTACTGTTACGATGTAATCCAGCGTTCTCCTTCTCATCTCTTGACCAAAGAATGTAGATTGTTTTCTTCTGATGTTGGCATTCACTTCTCTCCCTGAGTCAGTTTCTTTCAATATTAAAGTTCATTATTTTATGTTAAATTATCCTACGCTTACACTGAATTGTAGTTTACTTGTTAGTCAATGGCGTGCCATAATATAACCATGTTATTTGTCTGAATGGGCTATTTGGAATTTGATCCTGTTGGATTCTCATCCTTGAGGTGTTGTTGATCAAGAGCATAGCATTGATTTTCTGTCCACGATATTGGAGTGTACGCGGTAATGAGCTGGATGATGTGTTGGCTGCCGCCGCCCCTCTGTGCGGGGAGCTACTCTATGATAAAGTGGTCATGACGTCTATTTGAGATCAAATGGACAGTGCAATGGAGCAGGCGGAGAATCCGGTCAAAATGGACGCTAGGCACGGCCACTGTTTTGAGCCGTGACAAATTGTTTGCTTCTGCCAGACGGTGGCCGTTGCATTTTTGTTCCATTTATAAACTGAAAAGATATAGTTTTCTCGCTCAGCTTCTGAGTTGAGTGCATGGTGTGACACTGTGAGCTGCGGATTTAATTTGTTATGTTTTTCGACTGTGACCAACGTGGTGGTGTGAATTGTAAATTCAGAAAATGGCGCGATGCCCTTTGTCGCAATATTGGTGGTGCCATTATGTGATTAAAATTGATCGCGTGTGCAACTGCTGATCTGTTGGTGACTTCTGCTACAATACACGATGAACTGCATTTCTTTTTCTTCTTCTTTGAGTTCACCAGCTGTAAACTCTGGTGGAAAGTTATGGTTGTTCATCCACCTCTGGACTGCAGCCCTGTTCCAGAACCTGAGTGTTGCGTGTGCATCCGTTTGACAGATTTGAAACATTTGTGTGCATACTGTTGGTTCCTTGCCTCTCAGGCAGATGCACTCCGACTTCGAAGGAAGCTCCCAATAGTCGACTCTTACGACATGCTTTTGGGTAAGCAGTGGGTCTATTCTTGTTTTCCTTACAATAGGGCCCCGGAACCCACACGGGTGACTGCATTTCTAATGTCGGACTGTTTGTGTTAGCACTTCGGATGGCTACCGTTTGCTTTTAATGCGTGTGTATGCTAGTGCATATGCTGAGATAGCAGTCTGTCAATTTTTTCACAAGGGACTGTGATAAACATTCTGTGTGTTTTTCGTTGGTAGAGGAGCGAAGCAATTATGGGGTGATCCGTTTGTTATAAAGAAACGGTTATAAAGCTGAAACTAATATTACCAGATTATCAGAAGGAGAATCAAAACATTGGAAGATTAATTCAAGAATAAGAAAGAAAGTGAAAGGGGGTTTGGGGAGGGGTAGGGGGGGGGGGGGGGGGTGTTAAGGGGACAAGCAGAGATTCTGGAAGCTATTCAACCTTGTAGAGGAAATCAGGAAAGTAGTAATCTGGCTGCTTTTAATAGTATCACACTTCAAAACGTGAAGTCGTACACCTATTTGGGAAGCTATAAAACAGAATGAAAAGCAGATCTGCCAGCTTCACAATATAACAAACACAAACGAAAAGCGAAAGTTGCGGCTACAGAACCTTTATCAGCACATACATAAATCAAACACATACACGAATACACAAATCACTAAACAGACGTATCCCGAATCAGAAGATGTATTGATTTGGGCAGTAATATAGATAAAGATGGGGAAGTGATCGGAAAATTAAAATACGAAAACAAAGGGCAAGACGAGCTTTCATTGCACTGGGGAATTTCTGGAGGTCAAAAGAAATTAAAACTAAAATAAACAATTTTAATGTCAAATCAGTACTTTTGTGTGGAGCAGAAACATGAAAAGCAACTAATGCATTTACTAATAATTAACTGGTGCCTGCGCAAAATAGAGGGAATTAAATGGTATGATAGAATCACTTAATGTGGAGCTTTGTAAGAGAACTAAGCAAGTTCCAGTGGACTAAAAGGTGAAGAAAAGACGCTGGCGTTGGATAGGACACACGCTGAGAATAATATAACTAGAATGTCTTTGGACTCGAACCCGCAGGGGCATACAAATAAAGGAAGACCCCCTCCCCCACTTCCCCAAAAGAAAATCATGAAGAGAGAAGCTAGAAAGTGAAGTTTAAAAAATGGGAAGGACATGGGGAGAGCTGCATGCAATAAGCAAAGATTAGAACGACTTAGCTGAGTTGGCTGAGTGCCTATGTTCCATTAGGGGATGGATAGAAGGCAGAAGAAGAAAAAGAAGTAGTAGTAGTAGTAGTAGTAGTAGTAGTAGTAGTAGTAGTAGTAGTAGTAGTAGTAGTAGTAGTAGTAGTAGTAGTAGTAGTAGTAGTATAGTAGTAGTAGTAGTAGTATAGTAGTAGTAGTAGTAGTAGTAGTAGTAGTAGTAGTAGTAGTAGTAGTAGTAGTAGTAGTAGTAGTAGTAGTAGTAGTAGTAGTAGTAGTAGTAGTAGTAGTAGTAGTAGTAGTAGTAGTAGTAGTAGTAGTAGTAGTAGTAGTAGTAGTAGTAGTAGTAGTAGTAGTAGTAGTAGTAGTAGTAGTAGTAGTAGTAGTAGTAGTAGTAGTAGTAGTAGTAGTAGTAGTAGTAGTAGTAGTAGTAGTAGTAATAGTAGTAGTT